AGTTATTTGCCGAATACATCATTTTAAGTGTTGAATTTGGGTTAACAAACAGGACGTATCTCATGCTCTTATTATTTAGTAAAAATTTAAATTCAGAATAACGACAATTTATTTTGTTAGTAATTACATACGTGAAAATGTTAGGTCATTAAACATGATATGTAATATTTGATAAGCACATTCAATGGACCTTTTTTTTTTTTTTCCTATTTTGACCTTGAGCTGATCATGCATATTTTTCTATTAAAATTACATTAATATTCCATTGAATATATCTATTTTCTCTCTCTTTGCTCTTATATTATTTCTTTTCGCACAATTTTGTCACAGTGACAGTGATAGTTAACTATTTAATAAACATCAAAACTAACCCATAACAACTATTATTATTAGGCTTGGTAGTTACTGGGACAATCACAGTAACACAATCACTGTATATAGTTAATGCACATACTGCTCTTTTAGAGTTAATCATTACCCTTAAACAATTGTATAGAGTAATATTAGTGCAAAATTAATTACCCTCATTAATTACTAACAATGTATAGCGTGAGATTGATGCCAACCTCAATAATGCAAACGAATTGTCAATGATGACAGTTGGGTAATGCTGCCCAAACCAATGCCTCTTACATCTCTCTCTCTATCCCTCTCTTGCCCATGCAACTAATGTATCAGTTACTCTTTAGCAGACAAACCAGTTGATCTTCCATGACTTTGTTAACAGTTCAAAACATCAACGAAGCAGGTTGGCAGTTAGAATTCAAAGCGATATCGAGCAATTTGTATATAACGTTAATTTTTCCCTAAATCCAACAACTGTTATTAAGTCACTCATTTAATCTTTGACAGTATGTATTTTAAAATAACTATTTTATTTACCTTCAATATATAGTTGCATTTTTGATCTTTTTTTAATTTTCTGGATCTTCACAGCAACAACAAATTTTCTGGCTCTTCACTTCAATTGATGCATATTACCAACAGCCTGGCCTTTCGAACTGTTGATCTGTAAATTTTATTCTTTTATGTTTGGATGGCTCAAGAAAGTAGATGCAACATCTGGAATGCTTTTGTTATTATGTTCCTGAAGGGGTGGCTCCCATGATTACACGTATCATGACATTAAATGAGTTCACGTAAGGATGACAAGACAAGGTACGTGAGAATGATATCAATCAAACAGGTCTAGCCGAACTAACCAATATGTTCGGCAAGCAACGAAAGAGCTCAGCTCTTACCGAACCGTGTTGTTCAAGGTGTTAGGTGAATAATGAAAGAGCTCGGCCCTCGTCATAACCGAACTGTTTTGAAACAATAAATGGAAAGATAAAAGTTTGCCAAAAATTTAGGCATCTAAGATAAGCTAATGAGCTTAATTATAGGCCAAGGAAACTGCTAGAGGGATTTCAGTAGTTTCCCAAACTGAATCGCTTGATTGGAGGAAGGTATGTCACCTTGAATCAAAATTCATAGAAACCCTAACTAAACAGGATCTATAAAAAGTAAAAGGAGCCAAAGTAAAAGGTACGTTGCACTCTCCTTATCTTTTTGCAATTGATTCAAACTCATTACTGACTTAAGTATCGGAGTACTTTCGATCGAAATACTTCAATCTTGGACAGTTTGTTCATTTTGTAGGAGGGAGAAGACTAAGAGATTTAGTTCAGAAACATATATTTACTAGAAATACCAATTCTTCATACATATTTGTCGTTTTTTTTATCTCTTACAGTTCCCATTATTAGAACATGAGGAGCTCCATGGTAAGAATTGTTGCAAATTTAAAATGCAGATTTCTGCATAGGTTTATAGTTTGCTTGGTCTTATCTTTCTCCCACTCTAAGCTATCCCTGTTTTTGAATGTTCCTAATCACCATTATTGATCTAATATATCTTGTATAAATTACAACGTTACCAGAATTTTTTTTGCTTCATTTGTAAAAATATTAACAATTAGTTTATTTTCCACATTGTATGTGTATATATAGCCAAATTACAAAATTACAAAAGGGTCTCACAGTCTGTCCCAACTACAGCTGAGCCTTCTTCAAAAGGAGAGATTCAAGAGATATTAAAAAGTGATGTTCTTGAGATAATGTAATAGTTTACTATACTTCTTCTTTCATGTAACTTAGTTATTTAAAGGGTGGTGATTTTTAAGTATGGATTATAGCATATAAATGGTTCAAGAAGGCTTACGTATTTAAATTGACTTCTTTTAGCTACGGGTTAATTTGTTTTCTTCTTCTTCATCATCAACTTGTGGACTAAATGATAAAGCTGAAGATCACAACATGGAGAACAAGATAATTTCTCAAATCTAATACACCACATATCAAGTAAATGAACAAAGAAACAAAGTACGAAACCTTTCCTGTTGTTTTTTTTTTTTTGGGAACTAATTAAGGGGACCTTTCTGGTTAATATGATGATTTTAGACAAATGCCGAGGACATTGTTAAAAGCTAATTGCTATGACAAGATATTGAAGAAGTGTTGTGTAGGTATCTTCCCCATTTCAACTGCTGCCTCTAAAGTTCACCAAGAGGTTCACTTTCTAGGTTCATCAAGTGACTTTTTCATGTTTTTTATGCACTGGTTCTGTATAGAGAATCACTCATTTTATACAGAGAATCACTCATCGTCTCTGAAACATCCTTTAGTCATTACTTATTCATTCACTTACCCATACAATATTTGCTTTTTTGCTCTTTTTTTTCCCCGAACCCCTCACTAGCGGCACATGTTGTATCACCCGATATTTGCTCTTTTGTAACTCCTTTTTGTTTGCCCATTTTTTTCACTCTTTTTGGGCTCATTCATTTTTTTTATTGTAGAAGGTCTAGGGTTTAATGTAGTGATATTCGAGTTTACTACACAAAATTTCAGGCTTATAATAGTCTACGTGCAACACACGTCTACAACAATTAGTTGACTCAAAAAGAGTATAACACTGTACTTGCCACCGAAAAACCCTAATGTTTATGGTGTAAACAAAACAATCATCGTATTTGTGTGAGGCTCAGTGAAACATGCGGCCCAAACGCTGGTTTGAAAGCCTGACAACCCATCGTTAGCCACATGGAGGCCCACAGGTGTGACGAAGGCCCATATTTTTTAATTTGTCTTGGCTGTATGAATGGTTGTCAGTTTGAGGCCCACAAATACGGCCCATTAAATGGTGATACTACATGTCACTTTCCGCATGATTCCATTTCTACATGCATTATTTAATCTTTCTTTGTTTACAATTAAATTTTAAATATTAATTTGTTGACATTAGTTCAATGGCCAAACAAGTGTCAAGTTGTATATATGCATGTCTTTAGTTTGAGTCCCTTGACCTTATAAAACCCAAATGTATCTAGTATGTAAGTAGTGTCGTAGACTGCTTGTCAAAGTTTTCATTAAAAAATGGCGTTAAATCATAAGAATGATAAATCTGATTAAGATTAACTTCCTGTTGTATTGACATACTTGAGGACGTTTGGCTCTCCACGAGAGTCTCGCCCTCTTTCTTCATACGGTCACTAAGTTGATTCGTGAATCATATGAAGAGAGAGAGGCTCGATAAAACTGCAATAGAGCCGCCCCAACAGTATAGGAATTAAAGGAGTGGCTTCAAGCCTCAACCATGAAGAAGGCTCCCAAATTTCATAGGCCTTAAAGTATGATCTATATAAACAAATTAAGTATATCAGAATTGGGCCTAAGATATCCTAACAAACAATGAAATGCTAAATAGAATTGGGCCCAAAAGTCTAGTCCATTAGCCACACATAATAACATTTAAAATTAAAACAAATATGTTTAATTGAAAAAAAAAGTTTGCAAGTTCCATTCAAATTAAGTATATCACTTTCTTTCAAAAGGTATAACTTCTCCAGCCCTTCTTCTGCAATAGTTTCAAACAGTGACAAAAAAAAACTTATATTTCATGAATAATGGATAATTTGTAGAGAAAAAAATTAATAAAAATATTGATAACGAGACAACACAATATACTAAATAATCTTAAATTTAAAAATTTTGAGATTTTCTATTAATTTGAAATCTTCATATGAAAATTTTTTAATTATTTTTATACTATCGATGGTCTAGATTAGTTTTAAAACTTAAATATTTAAGAAAAAATTTATAAACAAAAAACAATATTCTTGTACCGAATTATATGAAAATAACATATTCTTTTTTGAATGTATTTTTTTACAAAATATTATTTACATGTTGTAACATTTTATTTTACATATAAAAGTTTTTTAAAATAAAAACTAATAAAGTCCTCTATAAGATCGACTATATATAAGAGAGTGGCAAAATTTGTCAGTTGGGACTTCGGCGGGGGTGGGTGGTGTGGTGGCTGCACAGAGTGTTGGAGGTTTTGCTACAAATTCAAAAATTTGGGGTTTTGCATATATTGAGTGATTTAATTGATGGATATTTCAGGGGTAATTTAGGAATTTTGTTACAAGAATTGGTTGAACTCATTGAGATTTAACGGTCCTCTGGACGAACTTTAACACCAGGGGGTTATTTGTTACATTATATCAAACTACAGGGGGCGGTGGTGTTATATTTTATACTTGAGGGGGGGTCCGTCTGTATAAGTGACAAACCTTAGGGGGTTTTGATGTAATTTACCCGCCAATTTATTATTTGGTCAATAAAAAAAATATGTTAGCCAAATTTAATAAAAAAATATAATAACAAATTTTCATCTCATAAGACAAAAATATTTATATTTTAAATAATTTAAAATTAAAGTGAATAAAAAAATAAAAAAAGAGATAGACAAGAGAGAAGAAAGATGTAGATGCCAATAGTAATAGAGGTTATTTAATATTAGATTGTATTGAAATTAATTTTTATGGGTGGTTTAACGGCTGAGATTGATTTCTGATAACCCTCGGATGTTTGAGGTTAAACACTCTAATCACACTAATTTTTTGAGAAAAGAGTAGTTGACGCATGGGACATGGATAACGCTATTTAGCTGTTAGCTGTAAGCTGTAAGCTGTAAGAAATAGAACTAATCTTGAAAAGCTCTTGGCGAGCTTCTCTTTCCCTCTATCTCTCTCCTGTTCCTCGGGAGTATGGGACAGTTCCAATTTCAGCAGCTCATTCCACTGAAACCTTCCTCTTCTTCATGCAAATTCATACCCTTTCAGGTGGCCATGTCCTATCCTCTCTCCCACTCTCCTTTCAATCCCCTCCCGAAGTTCCCCTCCGGTGATCGTCTCCCCTTTCCGCATAGACTCGCCGGACCCAAAACTTCACTCCTTTTTTGCACCAGGCCATGTCGTTTCTTCTGCAAGATGAACGACTCAGGTAATCTCTCCCTTTCTCTCTCTCTGTCTGTATATATATAAATATATAGGTATATATACTTACCTGAATCTATTATTTTGTTTTATTAACTTGATTAGTTGCGGTACTACGAAGTTACTGTAATAATACGGGTATGTGGGTTTGCTTAGCTTTTCTCAGATTATGCCATGAATGGTTGATTGATTATCTCCTTCTGGGTTTTATCTTAATTAATTGGAATTTCCGCAAATAGTTGGTGTGCAGCATTCGAGTTTGCCCAATTAGTTCTCTTAATAATTCTGAAATGTCAATGCTTATGAGCTGTAGTGTTGTTGTTTGATCTATTGATTTATTATGTTCTGTGTGGAAGTGGTGGTCGCCCTGTTGGTTCATACTTGGAATAGAATGCATCGAAACATAACCCTGCTAAGATCTAGGAAGCACAAGAGCCTTGGAGGGCTTATACTACATATTTTGAACCATTTCTGAAACCTTAATTATGTGCTACCAAATGCAGCTTAAAGCTTAATTCTGGTTTTCCGAGAACTGAGGAAGAAGTTAAAGATACTTTTCTGTAATTCTTACTGAGAGTAGACGCCGCCCCGGGGGGGGGGGGGTTGGGTTTACAATTTTTTATATTTCTTTTCCAGCAAATTTATGACAAAGAAAGGCATGGCTTCTATTTAAGGCAGAAATGAAACAACGCATACTTATTTGTTAAAACTCGTTAGGTGATTTTTTTCGCCCACTAATTTTATGCATTTTTTTTTTCCATATTTTGCAGGTTAATCGTTTTTCCTAATGAATTTATGTTTTCATCTCTCTCATATTACCAGTCTTTTCACCTTCCAACTGACTACAATGCTGACGTGCAGTTAGTGCTGTGCATAAAAAATGAAAGAAAGTGGTTTTTTTTTATTTTTTATACAAAGGACCATCCTCCATTCTCTAGGAGCTACTTTATTTTCATAACTTTCGACATAAGTGGAAATGTCGTAGTGTATGAGGTTGATAGAAGCAGTACCATATGTCATCGTACTATCATAAAGGCCTCCCCCCCGGGGCGGAAGCCCTGCTAGTTTTCCTTCAAAACACATTTTGTTATACAAACAGGTGTTTTATTTTTTGTTTGTTTTGGGTGCCTTTTTATTTTCCTTGTATACTGCAATATTTTGGCACCTTGCTTTGTCTAGAAAAAGTGGGATAACTGATTGAATGTAGTATGAGAGAGACAAGGAGAGAGGGTTGAAAGTTGAAACAAAGAAAGGAGGAAGGGGGGGGGGAGAGAGAGAAACCGATAAGTAGATAAGATTTCCATTTCTGTTGTTAATTTGATTGATTAAATGGGTAATACTAGGGTTCAGGAATGCATCATGACTCATGACAGCCTTCTAGAGTTCCTCAATGCCAAATGAATGAAAACCTTTATTCATTTTGGCATGTTTTGTCCTCATAGAGTTCCAGAGGTATAATTGCTTGGAATTCGCACAGGGATTGGAAACTTCTATAGACTCTCAAGTCTTAGCCAAATTCTATCATTTAGGCCTTCGTTTTTCGAGTTTTCCTAATTTCAAGACATTTCCAACATTTTATTTATTATTTGAATTACAGATTAATTACGGATATTTTGTTTTAGTTCTAGGATGATTAATATACATATTCCTTGCAAATATTGTTTTCCTATTTTTTTGTTTCTTTTATAATGAATAGGCCTATGTAATTGCAGACAGAGGATATTCTATCAAGCATATTATCTAAATTGTGGGTTTTTTCTCTCCCTTTTTCTTTCTAGTGGATTCAACAAGTTTTTGTTATTTTCTTTTGCTTTTGCTTGATCGATATAGTACTCAATTGTAATCTATGAAATAGGAATTATTTGAGCAAGTTTGTAAAATTTCAGTAGATATGATATCACAGCTGGAACTTCGAAAGCCGGAGGAGAAGCATAAGCCAGAGAAGCACGTGAACGGGATATTTTGGATTCTACTCCTTAATATTGGGATGTATGTGGCAGATCACTTGTTTCAGGTTCAAAGTTCAAACTATTGTTGCCTGTTGTGTTAATTATGTTTTTCTATACTGTAGTAGTACATGGATTACCATTCCACAAAGTAAAATGTACTCAAAGACTAGGGGAAAAGAGGATGAAAAAAACACTTGGATCTCAGCTTCTATGATAACATAATACACAAGTCCTTAATGGATAAATTGGGTGGAATACCTTGTACCATCCTATCATAGCTTAGAGCTGGTCATCTGGCTTAAAGAAAAACATTTCCATGAAGAAACTGATATTTAGTTTCCATGGCCATACGCCATGTGTTACATGGTAGGGTAAGTTGAGCTAACACCAAAATTTCTCATGTTTTAGGTTCGGGGAATCAGAGCCTTGTATTTGTACCACAATTGGCCTGCTTGGTACCAGTTTGTTACTTCAACTTTCTGTCATGCTAATTGGTGAGCCCATTTTACTATCTGGGGATGCATAGAACTTAGGTGGCCAATATTAGCCTGGAGGATATATAATTTTTTTCAAGTTTACGAGGCAGTCATAGAAAGGCATAGGATCCTTGATTACACATTAGTCATTGGATTTCCTCTCTCAATGAAGCACGGACACTCTCAAGAAAGTGACGTATTCGTGTCAGACACGTGTTGGACACCAACACTCTTTTGGCATGTGTCTGATACTCTTTTATACGTGTCCACAGTTAAGTGATAAAATTTTGATTTCAGACACGTGTTTGACACTTCGTTGGTGACTTCTCTAACTTTTCTTTAGGTCATGTCTATTACTAAACAATAAACATGTATTGATGTGTGATTAACAAAACTTAGAAAACAAATAAAATTGGTAAATGCAAAACTTAAAATTTTGATTAATAAGTATCTTGTACTTTGGGCGAACATATAATTATTAAGACTAGACATGTATTTAATTCACTGTATATCCTTCACAGGAACCATCTCTCCAGCAACTTATTCTTCTTGTATATTTTTGGTGAGGCTTTCTTCTTTGATAACTAAGAGGTTACTCACGGGATGCATTCTGATTTAAACATATTATAGAATGTAAATACATGCCTTTTTTTTGCCTAATAGGAAAGCTTGTTGAGGAGGAGGAAGGAAGCTTTGCATTGTGGCTTTCTTACATCTTGACAGGGGCTGGAGCAAACCTTGTTTCCTGGCTTATTCTCCCAAGAAATGCAGTTTCAGTTGGAGCATCTGGTGCTGTGTTTGGACTATTTGCAATTAGTGTCCTTGTGAAGGTAATTGAAATTGAACATCGTCCACACTTCATTTGGAACTCAATACAAGCGAACTTAGCCTCTTGGTGCTTACTGTAGATGTCTTGGGACTGGAGGAAGATCCTTGAAGTACTTATACTGGGTCAATTTGTCATCGAGAGGGTATGCAATTTGTTTTGTCATTAAATTGAAATTCCAATGAAAGTAAGTGTCATTTCACTTCTCATACAGAAACTTTAACCAAATCTTCGGCTTTATGAGCCAAAGATCAGTTTAAAGAAATGATATGTGAGGATATCTATTTTTCCTGTCTACCTGGTTAAATCACAGAATTATAACTCTATCCAAGCTTAAATATAACCAGCTCAAAGTAGGATTAAAAAATTTGTTGTTCAGCCATAAAGCTTTCTACAAATGTTGGCATCAAACTACCCACATTCTACCTCAAACTGCAGTGGTAGAATGGTTTCTCAGGAATTTTGCGGGTCTGTGTAGTTTAGAATGAACATCCAATGCATTAATGTTTCTTTGCCCGAGTTTCGTATTATATTTGGTGTTTCAAGATTTGTTAAAAATGCACTTCCTTTTGTGTGCTTTTTCTCGCTCTTAGTTGTTTTTCCATTTTTTTGGTAGTGGGTGGGTGGGGGAAGGGGACTGGAGGATCATCTCAAAGATTGCACTGGTGCAACGGATGTCATGCTGATGAACATCTAACACGCTTAAGTCAATACCTCTGTCATCCATGTTGATAAGAGTGGTGTCATAGCTGGCCCAGCTTCTTCTTCAGTGTAATTGCAACATGTTTTTATTTCTCAAGTCTGGAGAATGTGAACAGAGAGTGACTGCAAGAGTCATACTGATGCATCCCCCTGTGCAATCTGAACTAATTGAGTGTCCTAGTTACAACCTATGCCTTAATTTTTCTGCTCAGACATCCTTTTTTCCCCCCACTATATGACAGTTTTTAAACGAAGAAAAAACTTTTTGCTGAAAAATTAAATGCTGAAGCCTTCAGTAGTAGTAAAGTTTCTCTCACTGATGTAAATTGCTGAAGCTCTAGTAAATATAAAGTTCCTTGTAAACTTAGTGAAGTTCAAAATTAATTGCTGAAGCTTTCAGTGAATATAAGGTTTTTCTTGGACTTGTGATCAAACAATTTGAATATTATCTTGATGCTTTTCTTGGCACATCAGGTAATGGAAGCAGCCCAAGCTTCGACAGGGTTGTCAGGCAGTGTCCGTGGAGGCTATGCCTTACAGAATGTCAATCACATAGCACATCTCTCTGGTGCTATTGTTGGTGTAGCTCTGGTATGGCTTCTTAGCAAAGTTCCTTCTCAACTTCTGGATCAAGATGTACCAAGTATTCAGAGAAAAGCAGACAAAAATTGATAGCAGCACCTTGATTTGTCTGTTTATTAGATCGACTTCTAGAGAAGGATTTATTTTCATAGCTTTCTCTGCATAATGTTACATTCTTTCAGCCTCAAATGCTGTAAATAGACTGGATGTGGAATTGGTATAGTCTGGGTTTTTGATAACCCTTCGTTTAATTTTAATTTTGAACCCATGACAAATAACAGAAGTTCTGGAATTTACGCGGAAAAGGTGAAGAAAATATCAGATAGTAGCATCTGTTAAGCAATATGAATGGGTTGAAATTGAAACATTGAGCTACTCTTCATAAGATTGATGAACCAGTTTTGGGGCAGCAAACAAAAGACATTTTCTTCACTTTTACACTGGCATTTAGTGATTGAGAATTGCAGACAGCAGAGAACAGTTTTCATTTCAAAGATGCTGCAGAGAAAACAAACTTTAGGCCATCATTTCCCATTCTGTTAACAACTGTTTTCATTTCAAAGATGCTGCAGAGAAAACTGCAGACCTTAGGCCATCATCTCCCATTCTGGTTAACAGATTTGAGTCTCGAGGGATTCACCCAGTGAACAGGTTAAAATTGTACAAGTCAATGAAAAACTTATTAAACAAGCACACTACGAAAAAATCAAAGCCAGCCAAAGCATGAGAAACTTCATATTCGTTCGACCCCCAAAGCAGCAATTTACAGACATGCAAGTTCATGCTTAGCGCGCACACACAGATTGTGTCGGGAAAGATCATGTTCATTAATCTACGAAATGTACAAGCATTTGTCCATGTCTTACACAGGTTAACAACATAAACACAGCAAGTAATTTGACATGATGAAGCAAAAAAATTTGAGTTACACGATGAGCAAACTTTAGAGCAACTTAAGGAACAAGGATATACCACACCTCATAGATTTATGAGATGAGTTCCCAATCTTGTCACTATATACAACATTAAAATTTCAGAAGAGAGTAGTAGCACACTCCTTTCTTATCAGTTTAAGAACACCACTGTACATGACTGTGCAGGCTGACCATACATGTAAACTTGCCCTTGAGATTTCCGGCAAATGATCGGCATTTTAGCTCCAAATCTGCATGTAAGATACATGGATTTAGTAGCAGTCCACAAGCTGTCAGATGAAAAGTCTGCGTCTCTCAACACCATCCGGCTCCTTTTAGTAGCAGCAGCTGACCCTTTTTGATCACTCAAAAGCACAGTTGGCATCTGTAACCGATTGAATTGAGATGTACGCATTGCTTCCTCATGATAAATTTTCTCTAAACTCTCCATTGGCATTTCATTCTTCGTATCTATTTGGTGGTTTGTACCAAGATTTTTGACAGTATCAATTAATCTTTTTGCCTCTCTGAATAATCCAGTGGCACGCCAGGCTTCAGCAATTAGCAGGAGAGTAGTTCTCTCTGGCTGCACACCAAACCGTTCCATAAGTTGGATCATTTCTTCTGCTTTCCGTGGTTTCTTTGCTTCTCCGTATCCCCCGATAAGGGTTTCAAAGGTCTTCAGATTGGGAAAGACTCCATATTCACACATAATCTCAAAAACCCTGACTGCACAGTCCATTCTACCGGCACTGCACCATCCACTCATGACAGTTGTGAATATCACTACATTTGGGTGTAGACCTGATTTAGCCATCGCAGTTAGTAGTTCCTCTGCTTTCTCAGGTTCACCCGCACGCACATAACCTTTAGCCAGAATGCTGTAAGCATGGGTGTCAGGCTCAATTCCCTCCTTGATCATGTCATCAAAGATTTCTCTACACTTATCCATAAATCCTGCAGCACTCCAGACATTCATTATGGTGCTGAAAGTTATCACATCTGGTTTTACCCCAAATTCTTCCATCAATGTCAGAACCTGTCAAATTGATGTTTTTTGTAATTACATTTCCCCTCCTCCAGGAAAGAATAGATGGAAGTTTCAGTCAAAATTTTCAAGTACCAGACCATCTGGTCTAGAAAACATACAAAATTTCTAAGATCTTGTGCACCTTTTGGTAGCTGAACACAATGAAAAAGACAAGAAATATGTAATCTACACAATGATATCGCATAAAAATATATGGCAAAATTCCTTCATTCCATAATTAAATAGCATAATTATGAGATGACACCAATGCAACCAATAAGAATAACTTACATCAGTGACACAGATAGGAGAAAATTCCTTCTAATTGAGAAAATCTCTGCATAGTGACTTAAAGCATATACATCAGTTCCAATAGGAGGCAACCAAAATGAAATAGCTATGCTGGGAGGAAGGTGGCAAGGGAGGTCTGAGGGTGGTGAGGGTGGGGAGTCTGAGTAGTATACTAAGGAAGATGGTTTTGTAGAGAATTGTTTTTGAGTGGATAGTACCTAGTGTGTTATTTCATGATGTATACCCCTAATGTTGAACAGTAAGTTTTACAAAGCAACCATTGGACCAACAATTCTTCACGCTACAGAATGTTGGACAATTAAGAAATAACACACTCAAAATATAACGTTGTAGAAATGAGTATGTTAACATGGATGTGTGGTATAACCAAGGATCAAAATTTTGTTTTGAAACGGCCGAGTTTTTGTTTTCTAAGAAGACCAAAACGAATTAGTGATTGAATCGAAATGATAATGCTTTGAGGTGTTTCAGAGTGTTTCGAGGTGTTTCCACCATTGTTTGAGAATATTTTGACGTACTTTAAGATGTTTCGATATATTTTGAACAATATTTCATATTATTTTGGAAATAAATTTTCAATTTTTTTCTTTGTTTCCATTCTATTTTTGAAATGTTTGAGAATATTTTGATATGCTTTAAGATGTTTCGATAGATTTTGACCAATATTTCATATTATTTTGGAAATAAATTTTCAATTTTTTTCTTTGTTTCCATTCTATTTTTGAAATGTTTGAAAATATTTTGATGTGCTTTTAAGATATTTCGATAAATTTTGACCAATGTTTCATATTATTTTAGATATAAATTTCTAATTTTTTTCTTTGTTTTCATTTTATTTTTAAAATATTTTCAAAAAATTTCTGAAACGTTTCCGTTTTTCAAGTGACAGAAACAATGCATTGAAATGAAATTTTAATCCTTTGATATAACGAGAAAGGATAGGATTAGGAACATATACAAACCTGAAATTGTAAAAGTAGCACCGGTAACAGATAAAATAAGAGAGAATTGTTTAAAAGATTTGGACATATTTATAGAAAACCTATTAATGCACCAGTAAGATAGATTGATTGGACACATATTGATGGTAATGCGGGGTAAGTAGACCTAAAATAACTTTGAACAAAATGATAAAAAAAGATATGATAGCTCACGATCTAACGGAAAATATGACTCTTGATAGATTACAATGGAGAAACAAAATTCATGTAGCTGAGCCAAGTAGTTCAAATTAAGGCTTTGTTGAGATGACTTGACCCGAGTCACAGTATGAAATGAAATCACTGTGTCACCTGAATTTCTAAAACAGCAAGGTGACATATTGTGGGGCAGATGTGAAATGTAGAAGAAATGATAATTTTAAGCCAACTGAAAAAAACATGTGCAGTAAAATACCCAAACAGCATGTACTTTTAAACCAAGAACACCTATACACAGTCCAAAGCAAAGAGCCAAAGATCAACCACAATGGCAAGATGCATGCCCAGGGGGAAGAGGGATATAAGAATGCCAAAAACCTGTGAACAATTTTGAACTAAGTATTATATAGCTTCTTTGAAATATAAATTAACTAATGCACAGACCTCGATACTGTCACAGTACTAATAATGGTTATTATCAATCCAATCTCTCAAACCCTGGAGGACATCCCTATTACAGTAAGTAGCACAGTAGTACTTTATTATTTCACTGATACTCGCGCTTCTCACCTCACACTATCATGAGAGTTTTCCTATCTCATCCTAAGAATCCAAGGTTCTCAGGACTCATTCTGCAATAAATTATGTGTTTGGTCCTATATAGGGGTTGATTAATTTTGTGAATGATCAATGTCTCACTTCTAAACTTTTCTGCCACATAAGTTAAAAGACTTATAAATTCCCTCGTCTACACTGTCCTTCAAAATCTTGTGTTTCCCTCTCCAGCAACATTTGCACATGTGTCACTTACTGGAAAAAAAAAAATACTTACACACGTGTCATGGGGACAGGGAAACCGTGGCCAACCTCCATACTTGCATCTCTCTCTCTCACACACATCCGCAAAAGGTTAACAATTTTAACATTGGTGAGAAGGGTTCTTCTCAAGATTAGTTTGCTGTGCCTGAAGTGGTGCTGATTCGATGCAATGGTCAGAAGGTAGTAGCAATAATTAGGGAAAGGTAATTATAGTTATTCAAGCTGTACATTTATGAAGACAGTTCCTCTATGTCCTAGTATTAGGCGTCTGCAATTAAAACATGGTCAGCTGAGTTCAAATTACATATACAAGCTATCACAAAAAGGATTCAGCTTCATGAAGCTTTTGTCACACTCTTTTTAATTTGCTAACATTTCTAGGATTATGACAAAATCCAAATAATCCATTCGGAATTTGTGCTTTTTCTTTCCTCAAAGTATGTTAGTATGCATTAGAAATATCGATTGTCAAACAAAATTCTCTGTAGAAACAAAATTCAAGAAAAAAGAGAAGAAAAGAGTGGATGCTATAGCAGTTATAATGGCAAATAACAAACAATAACCATTTTATTGAGCCGTCACAACACCATTTTACATGGACACAACTGCTAACTCTAGAGCCAAATAAATATCAGACAAAAAGGAGTCCATCAAACAAGAATCATAGATAAACACTTACCTCATCAACACCATCTCTATCTGCAGTGTCAAGAAATCTTTTTATCAGTGAGTTGAAAACAACAAGATTAGGATACATCCCAAGATCCTTCATCCTGTAAACAAACTTCAGGGCATCCTTTATTTTGCCTTCCTTGGAATATCCACCTATGATGATGCCACAAGTTCGTTCATTAGGTTGCACATTTTTGTTCTGCATCTCTGAAATCATACCTTCAGCCCTTTTTGTTTCCCCAATTTGTGCATATGCTGTTGCTATTGTGTTGTAAGTAATGGCATCAGGTTGTAAACCAGAAGCTACCATTTTATACACCATATTCCAAGCCTCTTTGATGTTCTTCTTGCTGCACCATGCTCTGACAAGTACATTGTATGTCCTGAGATTAGGTTTCACATTTCCCTCTTGAGACATTAGTTCTAGCACTTTCAGCGACTCTTCAGGCTTTCCAGCAATTCCATACCCTTTAATTAATGTGTTAAAAGTGCTGGTAGCTGGTTTGATTCCATTCTCCTTCATTATCAAGAAGGTTTTCATGGCTTCCTCCATGTTCCCAGATTCGGAGAAAGCATTAACAACAGCATTAAAGAAAACTGAATCTGGCTGAAGTCTGCTTCTTTGCACTTCAGAAATGATCACATGTATGTACTCGAAGCGCTTTTGAAAGGTCAAAGCAGCTAAGAGAGTCGTGTACGTTACAAGAGAAGGCTTGTGGCCTGCTTCAATAAGACTATTGAAAATAGACTGGGCTTCTTGGGGCTTCCCTCTTTCTAACAGAATATTCATTAGTTTTGTTCTTGAGCGAACTGTTCGGCAACTATTTCCATTCATGCAAAAGGTGCAGAGAGTAGAATCTGGAATTGGATACAACTGAATCTCATCAGCTGAATTTCTACCCTGCAATGTTAAAGGACTATCACTCCCTTACCAATGATAGTCTAGTTACATTACATTTAAACCGCAAGCATGTAAAATTGTATACAAACTTTTTTTTTCTTTTTTATTTTTTGTTTGGGGCGTGGGGGTGCGATACATGCAATCGCAAACTAACAGGAGACTAGAAGTTAATACCTATACCAAGAGAATATCAGGGTTTACATACAGATAATTTGCTGGTACCAAGTGTCGTCCCCATCTCTGATGCAGCTACAAAATTTTGAACCACTTATCTTGGGGTTCAGTTTGTCTAATGTGTTACAAAGGAGACAACTAAGGGGTCACTACTTGGTGTAATACTAAAAAGCTCAGGCTATACCCGTGAGAACCTCATGTAGAAAAGCAGCCATAACATGTCAAATAATGCTAAAGGTGAAGTCTGTACTTAATCCATCCCTGCCATTCCTAAACCCCCACATTGGTGGGACTAACTCTTGATACCAGACACACCCTAAAAGATGGGCCAGGTAGCCCCAGGCGTAAAAGATTACAAAATAATATAGAATCTCCCCTTCATATATCTCAAAATTGGTGCTTGAATAACACAGTCCATATCCACCTTACTTGCAAATGAAATAAGACGCTAATACAAAACGTTAATGCCATGATTGCTGGCCTGAAAATTTCACCCCCATACTAGAACCTCTTGAAAAAAATACTAAATAGATAAGGAAAAAACTGAGCTTTGAGTAGAAACTGAAACCATTCATAAAATTTAACAGCATAATAACACCCACCCCCTACAACTACAATTACAAAAGTTGTGAAATCCTTCCATAGCCTTGCTAACAACAGATACATCAGAAAATAATGAGTGCAGATGTTGAAATCACTATATATCACCAAAACCAGGGTGTTCTAGGTTGACTAGCCAAAAAATGTATTTCCCTTCAGTCTGCAGCAGGTGGGGTACAAATTACAATCATAGCAATAAGATTATGAAGGCCTGAGAGTCAAATAAATAAGTTCTCCATGGATGATGATATACCTTGATTGATGATGCCTGAGCCCATTCTTTTTTAATATCTGTAATTCCTTGTTGATGCTTGTTGTTGGTCCCAGAATAAGTCCTCTCTTCACCAGACTCTCCCATTTGGATTTCTCGACTTTTCTTTAGACTGTCACTAACAGTTTAATATTTTTGTTGTTATTAACTTCACAGAGACAACTGACTAGGACCAGAGTTTCAACCCTGCCTGAGTTTCACAATCATCCAAGAAGTTCCTAGGGAAAAAAAAAAAATTGAACATCAGCAAGTCTGAGACTTAGATGGATAAGTTTGACCCAAAACCCAATACATAACTATTTCACTAATGACATTAAGTAGGAAAATCTTATGATAATTCAGGCGTACCATAATATAAAACAAAAATAGATATGCTTCTCAGGAAGCAGAAAGATTGTGACAAATGTAGAAGTGAGCATAAGTAGAGACTAGTAATCAGAAGAAAATGAATGCAAGAACACACTCATGTACATTCAGGTGATAGAAATCTCTCGCAATAATTATGAAGTAAAACAACCATAGAAAATGCAAAAAATTACACATTTAAGCATAAATTCCAAAAGGAAGACAGAGGGAGGGAGAGCGAGAGAGAGCATAGACCATTGATAGTTGCAAACCTATGAAAATAGGATTTAGGTCGTTGCAATAATTGCTAGGTAGGGGCTATAGTTGTGATCCACCAAAATTTAAATAAGGTAATGTTATTTTAAGTCTTACATGCAGTCCTTGGGTTGAATGGACTGGTAGTCAACAAGTTGACGCGTTCTATTTTTGTTGTCACAACATTTGTAGAATTAGGGGAAGTTTGAAAACCTTTATATATTTGTGCAATCTTCTCATATAATAGAGCATATGCCATCTCACAACTTTTGTTCAAATTTGGAGGGTAAACCAACACAGGTACTTGCCGCCTAAACCCAGGAAACCTAAATCGAAAACACCCTTGCAGTAGGGAAAGGGGTATTTGTTCTGCATTGCATATAAAAGGGGGGAAACGAAAATTAGGAAATAAAAGAAAGAAAGAGATCAGGGGAGACACATATCTCTAAACCCAAGGGTTTCAAGTTCTACCACACCAAGGTGAAATGTAAGAGAATCAGAGACTTCACAGCAATTTTAGCCTTGCTTGAGAAGAAAAGGATCTAAAATATTATATTAACTTAAATTTTTATCCATACTGCACACAGAGCGAAACCTTTTACCATTTACATAGATCCCGTCGCCCAGAACCAGCCGATATTAACAAAATCAAAAGAATTTTACATAGCAGCAGGAAAGACATTGCTAACCCAGCAGATCCTAGAATGACTGAATGAAATACAGTCAAAGAAAATCAAGGCCAGGTAATTGAAGAGAGTATCCAACTCAGCTATTATGAATCAATCTCGTCACGGGATTACAAGTGGCAACACAACGCAAATTATGCAAAATTTCTTAATTCCGAGTCCTAATCACATTCTCAAACATTGACAAAGTGTCCAGTAAAATTTGAGGAATAACCACAGAGGTATATCGACGGCATTTGAAGACCAACATGCCGAATTGACTTCATGACTTCCCTTGAATGGCCTCTTAAGAAGTTTCCAAATTGCAGTCCATAACAATCTTCCCCTTCTTTGAGGATTCGGAACAACAATTTTTGAAAACAAAAGGAAACATATCCTAATGTCCCCATAATCTTTCCTCGGGTATCTAAACAGAAAATCCAAGCATTGTCATTGCATAACAGAAGTTCCCATCAAATTAATTGGATTTCCATTTTCCATTCATCAAAATGCTTGAGGACATAAATACCCACTAATATCTTAGCATGAAATTTTGAAAAACCTACAAGGATTTCTAGAAATACGTGTGTTACTTAAGAATGAAACAACTAACGTCCGAATCAAACAACAAACTTCTATTCTATCTGAAACCCAATTATCCTGTTTATTTACACAGCACGAAACCCACAAGAAGAGAAGCGTGCGTGAGCTCTAATAAGTGCATTTTCTCACATTTCATCAGAAGCCAACCTCAAAAATCAATTTCATAATAGAAAATTCAACAAAGATAGCCCAAGAAATGAACACCCTTTTGTGGGTATTGTACTGATTACATGATCAAACATTTTCAGTGGCCATGCAATAATAGATGAGCATAAATGTTAAAACATTGACAAATATTAGTACCAGTTGAGCTCAGTGCTGTGCAGAGATAGAATGAGAGGGAGACATGGGTGTCCACGCGTTCTTTTAAGAATCAGAAGGCAGGGACAGTAGTCTCCCCGACATCCATTTGAATAAATCTTATCCACAAATTATTATTGGAGGAGAGTGAGTAAATAGAGCTGATCAGAAAAAAAGGTTAGTAAGGTTTTTATTTTTTATTTTGGGAGAATTACACAAATTCTCCTAAAGTTTACCACTTAATTACTCATATCCCTAATATTTGAAATATTACACACTAACTCTTAAAATTTGTATGCGCGTAACACTTAGACCCCTGTTGTAAATATATTAGTTCATAAATTACACTTAAACTCTCCTAAAGTTTATGAGTATATAATACTTAGACCCTTTAAGTTTAAAATATTATATTTAGACAAAAAAATGTTTAGTCAAATATAAAATATAAAATATTTTAAATTTTACAACAAAAATTTATGTTCTATTATATCATTTATTCAAATAAAATTAAAATTAAATATTTAATTTTTTTACAAAAAATTATAATTAGTATACAATTATATTATCTATTAGAATTTAATTTAGTCATTTAAACGACTAAATTAAAATACCAAACTACCCCCAATTAAATTTAAAAGATATTATGTCAATTACAGTTTGATTCCTTATTTAATTTTTTAGTTTTTTTCAAATAGACAATATAAATATATACTAACTATATATATATATATATATATATATTTTAAATTATTTTTGATTTTATTTTAATAAATAACATAATAAAACATAAATTTTAGATATAAAATTCATGTTCTATTATGAATAACTTAGACCCATTGTTTAATTTTTTAGTTTTATTCCAATAGATAATATAATTGTAAACTCACTACGATTTTTTTTTTTAAAAATTAAAATTTTATTTTAATAAATAATACAATAGAACATAAATTTTAGTTGTAAAATTTAAAATATTTTATATTTTATATTTGATTGAAGTATTTTTGATTTAAGTATAATATTTGAAACTTAAAGAGTTTAAGGATTATATACCCACAAACTTTAGGGGAGTCTAAGTATAATTTATTAACGGATATATTTACAACAAAGGTCTAAGTATTATATGCGTATAAATTTTAGGGGTCTGTATGTAATATTTTAAATATCAGGGAATTTAAATGATTAAAGGACAAATCTCAGGGGTCTAAGTGTAATCCTCCCTTTTATTTTTTTCGGTGTCTGTCTATCTATCAGTATTAGTATTATAAGAATGACGAGATTCAAAATTACGGTCTTAAACTTTAAATAACAACCCGATTAGCATGTCGTTGTCGTGTTCGCGTGACTTGCATGTCGTGTTAGAATAATACTTCAAAATCTAAATAAAATTAAAAAAATTATAAGTCAAATGTATATCATCACTTAGATGTTTAGTAAAACTCACTCATCCCCACTTATCCAAAAGATAATAAATTTAACTTTTGATAGATTATCTAATATTTTTCGTCGTGTTAATCGTGTCGTGTTAGTGTCAAGATACCAAAAATAAAAAAATAATAATACTACAAAAATTAAATAAAATTTAAAAAATTATAACTTAAATGCATATTATCCTTTGAATGAGTGAGTCTTATCAATTTTTTCAATAGGGCTCACACATGTATTTGAGTTTTAACTTTTAAATTTTATTTGGATTACGTAGTATTTTCTCAAAAAAAAAATTATTTAATGTGTTATGAAAATTAAATATTAGTTTAAACTATTTACTAAATATATATTTAATAATCGTTTTAATTTTATAATAATTTATATCGAGTTAACATCAACAAGTCAACTCTAACATTCCCGCAACCCCCTATGTCTTAAAGTCCAAACAGCAGGATGGTGTCATTAGAACAACTCCAAGGGGTGGCAACTCCATGTGCCACCCTAAATTTAAAATTTTGGGTTTTAAGGGGAGTGATATATGGGGTTAAAAAATAGCATCAAGACTCTTAGAGTGACATTTTTGGTAACTTTGAAGAAGAAAATGAGAGGTTATAAATAAGTTAATGAATATAAATCCGTTAGATGAATTTAGATCCAACTATTCATATAGATTGATGAATAAAAATATGAAAATAATATTCTATTTTAGCACCTGTCATTGGAGCAAATTTATAATTCAAATGTGTCAAAACACTATTCAAAATTATAAATAAGTAATTTGGCACATCAAAATGACAACTCCCTTTGGTGTTGCTCTTCGGCAGAAGTAATGTTTCATATTTTGGGGTAAATTGCAGAATCTACGGTATGATAAAATATAATTATATTTCAAGCCCTAAAATTGGATAGATAATATTTTATATCTTAAAAGATTTTTGTATATTTAATTTCTATATTAAAAGATTAAAATTATCATAGTACAACCTCAATCAAACTAAAAGGTTGCAACATGTTTTATTTTTTTAAAAAAAATTAAATACAAAAATTTTATTAGAAAATTTTAAAATTGAGTATTACGTGAGTAATTGTGTATTAAAAAAAAATATGATGACCACAATAAAAAGTTTGGTGAAAAAGATAATGAACATTAATTTTGGATTACAATAATTTTTTTATATAATTGAGAATGCAATATAAAAATTTTAATCTCCCAAATTTTAAATAAAAAAATTTTAAAAAATTTAAGGTGCACAATAGAATAAAACCATGCATCCCAAACTATGAAACACGGATATTTCATCAAGATCGACGTATCCATATCAGATACGATATTCGTTAGATACTTGAGTATATGTAACACACCAAACGTATACAAAAATAAATAAATATACGGATACTTCTATATGTGTAATTTTTAATTTTAATCTTTACCCCTTCCTTTCACTTTTTACATATAATACAATACATCAACAATAATTCATATGACTTTGAACATACATGTATGTTTTAGCTCAATTAAATCATGTGTCTAATATTATAACTAAAAGGTTGAATATCAACTTATAGAAGTATAATATTAATCAAAATTAATTTTATTTTCATTTATTTTGACTCAATGGTATAAAATTAATCCCAAATTTTTTTCCTAAAAAAAGTTATCTTAGGGAAAAAAATTATGTCAAACAACTTAACTAACACACTCCCCAATACCAAACAACCTAGTTAATCTAAGATTAATGTTTAATTTTTAGTATTGCATGGTGTTTTCAAGCACATAATTATTTTTAGAATTTTTCGGAAGGCCCCTATATTTCTAGTCTATCAAATTCCACTTGGAACTTTTGGCTTTCGTTTTTTTCTTCATAAGCATCAAGTATACACTATAAAAATAATTCAATAAACGATAATAATTTTAATAATGTACCTTTTGGGTCCATAATTCCGGCTTTAATTCAATATTTAAAAATCACTGGTGAGGCTCGAAAGACCTATTTTCTATGACTATAATTTTGAAAAAATAAATAGTATATTTTTTTTAATACAAGCATACATAATTAAAACATAAGACTATGATAGTCAAACACATTATAAACCCATAGTTCACGATCCACTCTAAAAGGGTTTTGCTTTTGAAGTGATACATGAACGGTTCATTTTTTTTTTAACAGAAACATACACAAAAAATAATAGGGGAAACTTCACTTTACTCCTCTGCCTATATCCCATTTTCAATCACTATAACCCATCACTTCAATCTCTGCCCCCAAATTACATAACGCAAGACTGCCATCTCCATGCCCAATTCAACAATCCATCACCAGCACCTTAATCGCTGACAGATTCAACAACCCAAGAATTGAAAAAAAAATAAAAAAATGGGAGATACATCGAACAATTCTAAATTGGGATAAATAACTATAGTGCACTTCAAATCAAACATCCACTTTATCACTGGAATTAAATTTGTCCCACTGTGGAGTTCTAGTAACAATCATTGTGTTGTAGTATATATCAATGGCTTTGGTTTGAGAATATTAGGGGAAAAACAGAGTTGGTTACCTTGGGGTGGGGTACATTGATGATTGATGATAATAGATTTAAGTATGGTTCCTTTAAGGGCCAAAATCTTTTGGGTTTATTTAAGACGATCCAAGCACCTCATTCGGATAACGTTCATTGGGCCAGAGTTGGACTGCGGCCCGGCCTCATAAAAGTTCTTAATAAACCAGCTCGAAATAGGTAACAGCTCGATATCGGCAAGTCCAGTACAGATATCAGCTAGGGAATTGGGAGCACGACACCAAACTATTCACCAAAAATTGTACCGCGACACGTGGACAAGAGACATATTTGAAAATTCTAACGAACGAATATCCTTCGGTAATGGAGATGACTCACGTATTCCATTCAAAACGTAGTGGGTGCAAAAAAACATCAGGATGACAGACCCAACAACAAGACAAACGGAAAAGGGACCACATTATTAGCCAAAAAAATAATCACTACGAAACCCTAACAACGGGATGTATAAATAACTAACGATACCACAAAAAAGGGGATGAACCAGTAATAACCTAGGGAATATTCTGTAAAAGGCTTCTAATCGAATACCTTGTAACATCAATCTTCTTTCCCAAGGAATACAATTCTCAAGGAGCAAGAGATTCCCTTATAGTGGATGTAACCTTAGTCATTTGGCTAGGGTGAACCACTCATGCGGTTGTCTTCATCTTATATTTAACACTTAGAAAATTGAGGAAGAAGATGGAATGAAGAAAAATTTCTGTCAGACTTCTACAGGTAGAAAGTGGTGTTCTACTGGTAGAATAATATTCTGTAAGAATTTCTATCGGTAAGAAGTGATGTTTTACCGGTAGAACGATATTTTGTGAGGTGTTCACTGTTTTGCTGTAATGTCTGTAACCCATTGTTCATTCAACCTCAAACCTTTTTTAAACACTTTAATGAGTTTGAATCAAGTTTAGTTGATTTTATTTACCAATAAATATGTCACTAAGCCTAAGGGTTTGAATGAATTGTAATAAATGGAAAGGGATAATGGGAAGGTATTAGGTTAAGTTCGATTAATCATTTATGCATGTGTAGTATAACAACTGTGTATTTAGAATGTTATTTATGTGACTTATGATGATGTATGTTAGGTATTGAGGAGATGACGTCAACGTCGAATTCACCTAAAATTACACAGGGAAACTGAATTCAGGTTTAGATGGATCCTGACGTAAATGTATTAATTTATACTGATTGAGAATCTGATTATGTGTTATTAGTTATATTTACGTGAAATAGCTTGAGGATTATTTGGTAAGTTATGAACCATGGAATGATGATTAATTGTTACTAGCTATGTTTATTTGTAAATAACTAGTTTGTGAATCGATGGTTTAAGGATTGTGGATTGGTGATGGGTGTGATTTCAAATACTTGAATTGATTTTGGGTATTTACCAATATTTGGTTGTCGAGACTATTGGACGTAAATGGTGGCATTATAATAGTTGAGACTCCCATGCCTATACTAATAGTGATATTTTAGTCGAGACTCCCATACATATTCAAGTAGTCATATGGTTGGATATGTGATTTTGGTTAGTGGGTGTTGGGAATTGGATGTTGGTTATTGGAAACAGGTTATTTTATGTTAAATTACACTTTTAATGTGCATGTGAGTTACAATTATAATTGTAATGTATTTATGTGTTTTTTTTTATATGTTTCAAATCTACTCATTGAACGTGTGATTTACTCCCCTCCACAATTTTTTTTTAGGTGTGCAGGTTAAGAAAATGATCCATTGAATAGTCTAGTTTGATGTCGAGGCATTGATGTCAGATTGAACTTTATGTTAAAAATCTAGTAGTGGTAATGTGGTGTTGTGTTATATTATTTGTGAGATTTCTTATTATAATAGTTGGATTTATATATTATTACTCAAAATTAAATTACTCTGATATTAATTATCATTTAAAGGTTATTAGGTCGAGGTTATTCGCACCCTAACTCTATTCCGAGATGTGGGTGTGCCAAGAACAATAGGTGCTAGTTGCTACTTTAGTTGAGCAAGAGGTGAGTGACGGTGGTTATGATTGTAGATGTGGGGTTGGGGTTGGGGTTGGGAGATGTCTGCAAAAGGCAAGGAGAACGAGACAGAAGGAAGGTTAAGGGAGATGTGGGTATTTTGGTCTTTTAAAATTGTCTTTTTCATGCCTAGTCTCCCTGATGGCGTCTCAATTTCACGGTTTGTTAAATTGTACTAAATATATAATTATATATTTTAATTCATCAACTACGAGGGCATATTTGTTTCGAGTATAAAATTTAGGTGGTATAAAGTTTTATATTCATTTTACTCCAATCCATTAATATATTATATCCGGTGTTAAATTATAATTTCATCATTCTTCTTGTTTGTTTATCACAAATATTATATGTGTAATACCTACTTAAAAAAGTCAACAATTGCGTCTAACTAATATAAAAGACAATTTTAACCTTTAAAAAGTCAAAAATTGCGACTGAACTTTTATATGAAAATTGTAGCGGAGAATATTTCGATCTTTTTAGTTTATAATATTTATACCAAGAATATAATACCACCCCTAAGTGATATTTATTAAGACCTTCTATAAAGTATTATGACTATTGTTCATAGCGGTCGGTATTATGATTCAAAAAATAGTAATAACTATAAAATGCTAAACAAACAACGTATAAGATGAATCTCACGTACTATTTTTTTAATACTACCTCTTTATACTACTCTAATACTCAAAACAAACGCCCAAAAGGATTAAGAGGGGAGGTTATATACAAATGGGTTGAGGCAGGGCTAAAGTGAAGTTTCCCCTATATATTAAATCACACACAAATACACACAACTGAATATTCAGGCAATCGTCAACGAGTAGCCATAAACAAAACGGCCATAGGCACCCACAATCCATGCCCTTTCTTCCCTTCTCTCTCTCTCTCTCTCTCTCTCTCTCTCACAATAACATTGAGGTATTGGATTGGATGATATGTTGAAGCTGTGGAAATGGTATCAGAATTGCTTGGCAGTACATCCTGTTAAGACACAGGTTATCAGCTCAGGTTTGATTTGGGGATTTGGTGATATTGTTGCTCAGGCCGTCACTCACTCCACCGTCAAGAAACATCAACAAATTGATGTAAGGACTCATCAAGAAACTCCCATGATTTTCTTTGTGGATGTTTTTGGGAATATACAAAACTATTTCCTTTGTGGGTAATTCTTGTATGATTCTGAGAGTTTTGGGTCTCATTCGGTCTTTGGGTATCTGGGTGTCGCTTATTTTTCCTGTATTTCTTTTGTTTTGTTTTCTTTACCGTGCATATGCTCTTTGACTAAGTGAGTAATCTAATGCTCTGTTCATTTATTTGCATTTGAAATGTATATGTTTGATGTTGTTCACCGGAGAATCCCTCTTTTCTCCCTCTCTCCCTCTCCCCTTCTCTCTGTCCCCCTCAAAAACAGTTACTAGCTTTGTGCTATGTATTTCTTGGTTGATATTGTATGGTATTTGTGGTAGGCAACAACAATTGAATGATGAATTCATCATGGTTTAACCTTTGGCATCGGTTGTGTATCTGTAGCCTGCGTTTCTTGAATTATAGCGGTGTTGATTTAGGTGATAGAAACCTTCACCTTGGTTGATTTGATATAGAATTGATTATTGTACATCACTGAAAGAATCTGGAAATTTGGTTTTCTCTGTCCTGCACAAGGTGCCATTGTGTAAGTTACACGGCTAGAGATAGAAGCGCTTCATTATCGATTAATTTGTTTGATATATTGAAAGATAATTCCTCTTTCATCATGCAGGATGAAGATAAGGAATTAAAGATCAATTGGCGACGAGTAGCTACCACAAGTTTGTTTGGCTTTGGATTTGTTGGACCAGTTGGCCACTTCTGGTTAGTGTTTCTTCCTCAATTTAGAATGCACTGGCCTAGCCTAGGGACTGCAAAGTATACAGTTTAGGAGTTTTGTGATTACGTTTTGGAGGATTGTGGGTTTGCAGCTCTTAAAAATTTTGATATTACTGGAGTGGCATTTTAAGACCTAGAGTTTGTATATGTCAGTTTCTTCCTTTCATATGGTATTGTTTTATTAAATATATGATTTTTTCTAAGGAAATCAACTTGAAACAAGGCGGATTTCCATCAGATTGGCAGATGAAATATTTTCAACATACAAGTTGGTACGAGGGTGAAATTTTTTGGTGGACTGTGTTCTGAATTTTTTTGTAAATAAGGACATCCCACTAAAGAATCTACAAATATCGAATCTTGATTGTATACTTTGTCCTGTTTATTTATTTTTGCTTGTACTGTCACGAGAGAGAGAGAGGGGTTTGAGGGGGAGGGGGGAGAACATGTATAGAGAGAAGTAAATTTTTTATCACCAGAGATACATTTGGTAAAGCCAGGGAGCAAACAACAAACATCATTGTCAGCACCGCAGCAGGTCTTTGGATGCCTGTCTTGTAAATAATTTCAAATCAGTAGAATCATTAATGATTTTGAGATGGTTTATATTTCTTTGGCACTTAGTTTAGACAGTGGGTTCCTGAGATTTTAATATGAAAACAAACTTCTAGTGTCACAGATTACTTCCAAGTGAAATCTTTATGGGTTAGGCCAGCCAAATAACGGATCAATTCAGATTGTTCTACCATTGGTATATTCATTGCTGCATAAGCACTATGCCACAACTTATCAGAGAAAATAGTTGTGCTTCTACTTCTTATGGAACACTATGCATTGTCCAAATAAAATTTCAAGTCCCACTTAATTTGGCCTTGACTATTATTTTGGGGAAGTCATTACTTTCAGATCCTGAGTTTAATAACTCTTGTAAGAGGCATGAAAAAACGTTTAGTGCAATAAAAATTGGACTTTCTCTGCTGAATAAGCTAGTTTTTTGGAATAATAATAGGATGGTATAAGAATCAAGTTTTCTTCAAGATAGATTTATGATTATGACACCCCTCTCGGTTTTCCTGCTGTAGGTATGAAGGCTTGGATCGGTTTATAAGGTTGCGGCTTCAACAACAACCAAAATCCCTCCGGTTTGTTGCAACTAAAGTAGCAGTTGATGGGTTAATATTTGGTCCCTTGGATTTACTTGTTTTTTTCACATACATGGGTTTTTCTACCGGAAAAAGTGCTGCCCAAGTCAAGGAAGACGTGAAAAGGGATTTCCTCCCAGCTTTAATTCTGGAGGGAGGCATATGGCCAATTGTTCAGGTGGCCAACTTCAGATATGTTCCAGTGAGGTATCAACTCTTGTACGTCAACTTCTTCTGCTTGTTGGATAGCTCTTTTCTTTCATGGCTCGAGCAACAACAGGATGCTCCTTGGAAGCAATGGTTGAAATCATTTCTGGCATTAAAAGAACAAGAAGGCCAAGGTGGATAGTTGCTTCTGCTTCTTCCCCAAATAATGTTCTTTTTTTTCTTTTGTTGGTCTCGGGATCATAAAGAAAAATACAAATCAGAGAACTGTGAAAGAGTAGTGTTAATCCCCAAATTGCCAAGTTGGATTTTTGACGTTGGCAACTGGGAAGTGATGGACTTTGCTCTTGAGCTTACTGAGGTTTTCACGTCAACAAGGTAAGCTGAGCTGACTGTTCCATACCATTTCTAGATAAGATTTGTTGCTTTCAATGGACCTCATGCTGTGATTCTACTTGTTCTTGTATCAGTCAACTGAAAGAGATTATATGACTTTTCCATTGGCTTCTTCGTTCCCTTTTCATTTTGTACTTTCTTTTCATTTTCCCAATAATTTAATCCAAGCAATTTACCGAGTGATGGAGAAAGTATACAATTGTCAAGAAAAATGGCAAGAGCAGCAGTCAGTCTGTGTGATGTTTTCAAGATTTTCCATCAAATAGATACCGGATACCGGTCATCCCCCTACCTTGGCAAACAACAGAAACAGGTCCTGTTAAGCGAACAAAGTTCGGTACAACTGTTGAGAAGCAGAGCACAAATACCTTCACATGAAATGTATTAAGAGTAATACAGAAATGAGAGAAGTTACAGACTTGACACCGCAACCGAAACAAAGAACTGGATCTAACAGATTACACAGTGCTCCATAACTTTCCAAACTGAGTAGCCTTATGTGCCAATGAAAAAGTGCATATCTTCTTGATAAGACCAGTTGCTGTTAGCTTTTCCTTGTGATGGCAAAATGGCATGTAAAACCAGTACCCATATCGCAAGCAGACTGAGTTTCACACCTAGGGTAGGAGTCCTTTTTCATTGACCTTGGAAGTTCCAGCATACAAGTACGCACGACCATGAATAGGAGCAGACAATGAAATTGTATCACAATCGAAATATGTTGAATAGGCATAATAGCCCATCTGCCAGCTATTGGAATAGGCCACCCGTCTTATCCACCTCACAAGGTACATTCAATTCAACAGAAAACTGCATGTAGTCTATCAAAGAGCTAACACCGACATGCATATATAAGTCAATCGGGCCACCACTTAAGGATGCTATCGAAGAAATTTGATGGCCTTGATTGTTAAGTTTAACTTTCCGACACTCGACAGGGGTTTAAATCCTGAAAGCTGAAGAAAGCAATAAATTTGTTTCGGCGACAAGCATATGTCCCACGATCCTCCTTAAGCCCCAGCCATCCCAGAAGTGTGAAAGACTATGAAATTTCATGCCCAAAGAAGTTCCTCAAAGAGAAAATCTTCACTTATTCACTTTCCATTTAGAAAATGACTCGGGCTATTGTTCTCAAGGGTGTCCATGTTGGGTAAATAGCAGCAGCAACCTTCAACCTTAGATCACTTACCATATTCCTTCAATAGCCTTTTGCCCAAACTGTCTCAGAGCTCAGTGGCGGCCCAATAAAGGGCTTCAAAAACAGTGATTACATGAAAGAAAACTCATATAAGAACATAGTTATCTGCTTGAACCATGATTGAAGAAACTACAAGAATCCAGCCAGCTTCATATCGATCATCACCCAATCCAATTTCTCAGATAAGCCTGCTCTTCGATAGCCAGCAACCAACAAATCATAAGTCGATCTTGTGAGTTTGTGGGAGACTTTTATACATTCCAAAAACAGGTCTAGCCGATCATGAGCTTTGCGTCTGAAGTATGAACAAATTACCTTCTCAACATCATCCGGGCATCTGAATAACATCCCTTGTTTCAACATCCTCCCAACAGCGTATTCTACAGCATCCAATCTATCTGACACAGCATACATCCTTATAATTGCACTGTGGACTCTTGACAGGACTTCCCGAACCTTATTGGAATTTGTTAAAGTTAGTAGTAGATCCTCCATCTCTTCCACCGTCCCTACTTCATAGTACAACTTCACAAGCTTCTCGACCATTGCTAAATCAATCTCCCAACCACAATCCACTATAACCTTCAACATCTCTTTAACGTCACCCAAATTTCTCCGCTCACAAAGCCCCACAAGCATACTTTTCAAGATGGATACATTAGGTATGATTCCTGCCGACATCATTTCTTCATAGAATTTATCAGCATCAGCATAATGTTTCAATTTAATGCAACTGGATATAAGAAACTCGTATGTTTGAAGATCAGCTGAAAACCCGGCAGCCATTTTGGCTGAGTACCAAGCTAGCATGGATTTATCATTTCCCAAATTTGCATATGCCAAAATGAAAGCATTGTAAGTGTCAGAATTAGGTTTATAGTTCTCTGAGCTCTCCATGATCTCAAATAAGCTTAAAGCTGTAATTAAGTTACCTGAAGACAAGCAAGCAGATATAAGGGCATTAAAAACAGATGAGGTTGGCGTGAGCCCTTGGGCCTCCATGGAAGTAAACACGCGCAATGCAAGTGGAACATTTTGCATCTTTCCACATATAGATATCAGCTCAGAGTAGCAATCATGATTTCCTTCATTTTCTTTCCTAAATTTCTCCAATCTCCATTCCACAACCTGGTAAATCAAGCAGCGAGTATACACGAATAAACTTCGTTTGAACACAAGGCAGAACTATAATTTTGGGTGCACAGTCAAGTTTAAAAATACATAGGTTGGAATAGATGTTTATAGAAGGCATAACCAAATGATTGTTTAGCAAATGATGGATTTCATGCCATGATAAGATGGTACTTTAACACAAGTAAACAATAGTAAGAGTCACAAACACAACATTGCCGCTCAAGAAACTAAGAGCAAAACACTAGAGAGGAGGAGTGTTTTCACATACGAAAGAACATTTAAAGGTAAGACTTTGTTTTATGTATCAACAGCATAGCATGAATGCAGCTACTAGGAATAAAGCTTCAAAAAATTTAGTACATGATGAGTAGTCAACTATCTCTTGTAAAACCTCTGGAATCACATTTCTCCATAGTTTTTTTCAAAAATTGTAAAAATTTTGGGTTTTTTTTTCTGTTAAAAAAATTGGGTAGTTGGGTACCGTTAAATTTACACATTTTTCCCTTATCTTTGGCTGAAATGTGCATCATCTTTAAATAAAGGCACATCTTTCCCTTCTCTTAAGGTTACACAAGTCTTAAACCGAGATATGTTAGTTTTGAGCAATGTTATGTTTACCAAATCATTTACTAAATTTTATATCCCAAATCAGTATAGGTGGTTAGATCAGTGGGTCCACTAATTTCCACCGAACATTCAATGCATAGAATTTTAACACATCATTTGAGATATACCATTTAGAAAGCACAGTTTATCCGTTAGGTTTTGGGAAGAAAAAAAAATCTGTATGCTTCACAAAAGAAAAGGGTATGCCCAAGGGAAATGGATTTAGGGCTTGTCAAAAAATACTAAATATCAACGTTCATGATGCATTTCTCATTTAAAGTAGTACAAATCCAACACACACACACACACACACTTCAAAAAAAAAATTCCCCAGAAAGAGAAAATTGTCCATTGTTATTACATATACAATATACAAAAATCCCTTTTTAGTTGTTCTTATTGTTAATCAATAATTCCACAGTAATAGGATAACTGGAGAAGGGAAGGAAGGCCCAAATAGAGACTAAAGTGCAAAATTTTGCATCAAAACATAGAAAAATTAAGGACGAAAAACATAATTTGATGGTAAACACGCACTACTATTTTCTTCTTACAGATAAACAAAACTATAAGCATATCACACTCACACACACATACACATACCAGCTGAGCTTTCTGTGGAGAAGACGACTTGAGCGCGGTGACGAGGGCATCCCAGGGAAATTCAGAGCTCTTGAAGGTCAAATTGTTGTTGTCCTCTGAATCGAGTGTCGCTTTGATTCGCGAAATTGGTTGGTGAATCAATTTTTGAATCAGAGAAGTGGTAGTAATCGATGATGAATTGGTGCAGTAACCGATCAAACACTGAGATTGGCGGCTGATTAAACTCTTTTTAGCAGCTAATAAAACCTTACCACACGAAGCTAACGCCATTTATTTTTCAACCTTCTGTTTTCTCGAATCCGAGACCAGTTGGTTTTACTTGCTCCTCCAGTTTTCAACCTTTTACAGGAGAATTGACAGACAGATACAAAGACAGACTCTGAGACTATGGTCAACCGTCGGTTAACGAGGTTTGCGTCGATTTGAAAAAATTATGCGAGTTCGGTCGAGTCTGAGTAACTATGGATTGTTTAGAACCCCTAAATCTACCTATTTACTCCATTTTAATAGGTTAGATCTTGATAGTAATCGACTAAATTCACATTTTAATTGAGTTTTAAAAAGATTAACGTTCGAGATAAAAAAAACTTATCCCGTCACCATACCTCACAAGCTATTATCAGCACCGTTGTTTTCGCCAATACTACAACACAAAGAAAACACCACCTCCTCCCCTACCAACTTTAATGCCGTCATAACATCCACAAACGGTTTCACCACGGTTACTATCATCACCCCTTACCATCATTATAGTGGTGGCATTTGTGGTGGTGATGACATTATTGTCGGCAATGATGGTGGTGGAATATTGGCGGCATCAATATGGATAGTGATGTATGGCTGTGGCGGTAGTTACTGTGGCAAGGGTGGTGCTGAGGTGTTGGCAATATTGTGTTTTGATATTTATTTATGGGTTAACGGGTTTAACAAAACACCTTGCATCTCGACCCGTTTTAAACTATTTATTGAGCAAGTTTAAAATAAAATACAATTAAAGCCCATCCGTCCCAAATAGTTACAATATCTATCAAAATTTCTTATTGGCTAAAAGGAAACACCAAGACCATGTGCCTGCAATAAGTATATTATCAGCCCATCCCTCTTTTCACCCCATACCAGCTAGATCCGAATTGCACACGGAAATAGAAATGTTAGGTCCATGTGGAATTCCAAAGTTCTCACTCAGTTTGGTGGGCAGCCAAGCCTTGATGAATGTCTAAGAACACTTTATAGCATGCACACACACACACACACACACAAAGGCGTGTGTGTGCGTGCGTGCGTGCACACAGAGAGTTGAATGGCAGCCTATTTCTGTAGAGCAGTGACAACTGGCATGCCTGAATGACTAAGACATACCAAATTCAGATAGAGCTGATTGGAACAAAGATGAGAACTCCTGTGATGTACTCGGATCATCAGCTTTGATCCTTATCTGGGCTTCGCATGATGACGCGTTGACTACACACTCCACGAGAAAGGAAGATGATTCCTCCGCCTTTTGTGCAAAAAAGAAAAACTTAAAATTTGGGGCTTGACCACCTGAAGCGATACAGTGAATAGAATGACCTTGCATGTGCTTGAGAAAGGCTTGAGGAGACATCAATCCTGCTGCTCCTTGTGGAGTTATGGAGCCCTCCTGGAAAAGCAGAGAAGTAAAGCAACATCCATCAGATAAGTAGGTTAAGTGGTACCGAGAGACAATTTTCATTATAAACATCCATCAGATAATTATGATAAGTAGAGTACTGAGAGACATTTGTCAGTATATACTCTAGATAAATTAGGCATGCCAACCAGTGCAACTGCATCAATACAACTACAGGAAGATGGAAACTGGTAGAGAGATTTATAGTGTTGAAAACGTGACTTAGAAGCTGCAGATGTGGTTTGAAAGAGTCAACATAGCTGTTAAAGTTAGTCTTATCCATAATCAATAAATTAGCAACTACCTAATACACTTCAGATTTCTTAGGTTGTTTGTTAGTTGATTTCTAGCTAATTTTCAGCAATTCAGTTTACATCTTTGATGTATAAATATGTGCTTTTACTGCTCAATAAATATATTTCAGCCTTTGTATTCTCTCTATTCTCTACATATCTTTTCATAAAGCTTGTTCTTGTTTCCAACAAATTGGTATTAGAGCATTTTTCTTGAGGGACCTATGAGATTGAGTGAGCCCAAACACAACCCAAAATAGCTATCACCTATCCTACACAACACACAAGACCTTACAAACCATTCAGAATGAATTCAGAAAGTTCATTCACTGCGATTGCACCTCCAGTGTTTGATGGAACAAATTATCAGGTGTGTGTTGTTAGAATGGAAGCCTATCTTGATGCTAATGATCTGTGGGAAGCTGTTGAACAAGTATATGAAGTTCCACCCTTGCCAGATAATCCAACTCTTGCACAAATCAAAAATCAAAAGCAAGAGCAACCTTGTTTGCAGCGGTCTCACCCACCATTTTTACCAAAATGATGACATTGAAAACAGCCAAGGAAATTTGGGATTTTTTGAAGCAAGATTACGAAGGAATGAAAGGGTTAAAGGGATCCAAGTGCTGAATTTGATCCAAGAATTTGAGATGACAAGGTTGAAATAATCATAAACGATCAAGGAATATTCTGACAGACTTCTTGGCATAGTCAACAAAGTAAGACTACTTGGTACCGATTTTCCTGATTCTAGAATTGTTCAAAAAATCCTAGTGACAATTCCTGAAAATTTGAGACTACAATTTCATCTTTGGAAAACTCAAAATATGTGTCAAGCATTACCTTGGCAGTTTTGTTGAACGCACTGCAGGCACAAGAACAAAGGAGGCTTATGAGGCAAGAAGGATCTGTGGAGGGCACTCTTCAAGTCAAATCACAAAGCAACAATGGTGGCAATAACAAGAAAAAGAAACAGGACTATAACAAGCCCAAAAGTTCAGGGAACAACAAGATGAACAACAGCTCTCAAACTTTTCCACCATGTCCCTTTTGCAAGAAAACCAATCATCCATAAAACAAATGTTGGTGGAAGCCAGATGCAAGATGCCACAAGTGTGGTCAGTTGGGGCATATGGAGAGGGTATGCAAGTCTCAACAACACCTGGGAGAAGCCAAGAAAGCTGAGAATCAACCTCAGGAGAAGTAGTTGTTCACAGCTTCATGCCTAGCCACCTATAGCTCAACTGAAAGTTGGCTTATAGACAGTGGTTGCACAAATCACACGGCCTATGATCAAGAGCTTTTCAGAGAAATTGATAAGAGTGTCATCTCTAAAGTCAGAATTAGAAATGGAGATTACATTCAAGTCAAAGGAAAAGGGACAGTAGCAATCAAAGGGCACTTAGGTTTGAAATTAATTTTAGATGTCTTATATGTTCCTGAAATTAATCAAAACCTGTTGAGTGCTAGCCAATTGCTTGATAAAGGCTTTAAGGTGTTGTTTGAAGACAAGTGCCGCATGATTAGGTCAAAATGAAAAATAAAAGCTTTGCTTTGGATTTTATGGGAGAGGAGTAAGCCGATGTACTCAAAGAAGATTCCAATGTTGTTTTGTGGCATAAGAGACTGGGGCATTTCCATCATGGTGCTCTAATGTACATGAAGAAAAATAATCTTGTGGAAGGTGTGCCTAAATTAGAAGAGGAACTTCCTGCATGTGCTGCCTGCCAATATGGGAAGCAAACAAGGCTTCCTTTTCCAAAAAATAAAGCCTGGAGAGCTGCACAAAAACTGCAGTTAATACACACAGATGTGGGAGGACCTCAAAAAACATAATCTTTGAATGGCAGTAAGTACTATATTGCTTTCATTGATGATCACACAAGAATGTGCTAGATTTATTTTACAAAGTTTAAATCTGAGGTTGCTGACATTTTCTGGAAGTTCAAAGCTTGGGTGGAAACTCAAAGCTGTTGCAAGTTGCAGGTGATCAGGTTTGATAATGGAACTGAGTATACCTCAGAAAGATTTAACAAATTCTGTGAATAAGGAGGCATTGAACATCAGCTGACAACATCTTACACTCCTCAACAAAATGGGGTTGTGGAGAGGAAAAACAGAACTATCATGGAAATGACAAGGTGTTTGTTGTATGACAAAGGGCTGCCAAAAAAGTTTTGGGCTAAGGCTGCAAATATAACATTTTTTTGCTGAACAGATTACCAACAAAAGCTGTCCAAAAAAAGACTCCATTTGACGCATGGCATGGATACAAACCAAAGATGTTTAACCAAAAAACATTTGGTTGCTTGTGTTTCTCTACATTCCACAGGTTAAGAGAGACAAGTTGGACAAGAAAGCAGAACCTAGGATCTTTGTAGGCTATAGCTCAGTTTCAAAGGCCTATAGGATCTACTTGCCACAAAGTAACAAATTAATCATCAGCAGAGATGTCAAATTTTTTGAGTCAGACAGCTGGAGTTGGAACAATGAGAAGAAGCTTGAAGTTCAAGAGGAGACTGATGATATTGATGATCCACCAGTCAGAGAAACCAGATCTCTCTCAGATATTTATCAGAGGTGCAATGTTGCTGTGATGGAGCCTGCTGGATATGAAGAAGCTGCAGCAGATCAGAAATGGGTGGTTGCAATGAAGGAGGAGCTTAAGATGATTGAAAAGAATCATACATGGCAGCTGGTGGACAGACCTGAACATAAGAAAGCTATTAGAGTAAAGTGGGTTTACAGAACCAAGTTCAATCCGGATGGTTCTATAAACAAGCATAAGGTCAAACTCGTTGTCAAAGGATATACACAAATGTTTGGAGTGGATTACTCAGAAACATTTGCCCCTGATGCTAGATTGGATACCATAAGAATGCTACTGGCCCTTGGTGCTCAAAAGGGCTGGACTATATACCAAATGGATGTCAAGTCAGCTTTTTTGAATGGATACTTGGAGGAAAAGATTTTTGTTGAACAACCTGAAGGATTTGCTGTTCAAGGACAGAAGGAGAAGGTTTATTGCTGAAAAAGGCCCTCTATGGTTTAAAACAGGCACCAGGGGCCTGGTATAGCAAAATTGATGCATACTTGGTGAACTTAGGCTTTGAAAAGTGTCCATGTGAATTTACTCCATATGTAAGGAAAGTTGATGATGAATTACTTGTGGTGTCTTTATATGTTGATGATCTGCTTGTTACAGGAAGCAATGAGGAGTTAATTGGCTGGTTTAAAGAAAGAGTATGAAAGACATGTTCGAGATGACAGACCTTGGGAAGATGTCATTCTTCCTTGGTATGCAAGTGCATCAAAAACAACATGAAATTTTTGTGCACCAGCAGAAATATGCAAAGAAAATTCTCAAAAAGTTCAACATGGAAGAATGAAAGCCAACTACTACTCCAATGAATCAAAAGGAAAAATTATGCAGAGAAGATGGAGCTGAAAAGGTTGATGAAACGCTGTATAGAAGCCTAATAGGCTGCCTGATGTACCTAACAGCAACCAGGCCAGATACCATTGCAAGCTGTAAGCCTTTTGTCAAGATACATGCACTGTGCTAGCAAAATTCATTTACGAGCAGCAAAAAGAATTGTTAGATATGTCAAAGGCACAATTGATTATGGCTTAAAATTCAGTCAAGTCAAGGATTTCAGTCTTCATGGATATTCTGATAGTGATTGGGCTGGATGTGTTGATGATATGAGGAGCATTTCTGGCTATTGTTTTAGTTTTGGTTCTAGCATTTTTTCATGGTGTTCTACGAAGCAGGAAATTATAGCACAGTCCACAGCTGAGGCAGAATATGTAGTAGCCACGGCTGCAGCAAATCAAGCTCTTTGGATCAGGAAACTTATGGTTGATTCGCAGATGAAGCATGAACAAGGCACAAAGATTTCTGTGGATAACCAAGCTGCAATTTCAATTGCTAATAACCCAGTGTTCCGTGGCAAGACAAAGCATTTCAAGGTTAAACTCTATTTTCTGAGAGAAGTGCAAAAAGACAGAGAAGTGCAGCTGGTTTACTGCAAAACTGAAGACCAAAATGCTGATATATTTACAAAAGCACTGCCTAAAGCCCGTTTTGAAAATTTGAGGCTGAAGTTAGGAGTATACAGCTCCAAATTCAAGGAGGAGTGCTGAAAACGTGACTTAGAAGCTGCTGATGTGGTTTGAAAGAGTCAAAATAGCTGTTAAAGTTAGTCTAATCCATAACCAATAAATTAGCAACTACCTGATACACTTCAGATTTCTTAGGTTGTTTGTTAGCTGATTTCTAGCTAATTTTCAACAATTCAGTTTACATCTTTGATGTATAAATATGTGCTTTTACTGCTCAATAAATATATTCCAGCCATTGTATTATCTCTATTCTCTGCATATCTTTTCATATAGCTTGTTCTTGTTTCCAACAGATAGTACGATAAAGGGAAGTTAGGAAAAAAAAAACTAAAAGCTCCAATAGGCAACACATATCTCATTCAATTGGTTGACACTCTTGTTCTCTCTTCAGATGCCATCTTTTGGGTAGAAGTCTTGGACTACATAGGGGCCAAACCAAGTGGGCTTTCACACTCCTCTAGGATCAGTTGAGAGGAGACGATTCAATTGACTCATCCTTACGGTCTCTACCACCTCTTAGAATGAAAACAGAGTACAGTCATAGAAGATGTTTTACTTATTTGTTAGAAAGGACGAGATCAAGTCAAGACAGTTAAAAAATGTAGAGCAATGCAGCAATTAGTAACTGTATCAAATCTCGATTGTGTTTGAAGTTCAAGGAAGAATAAATTACTTTAGGTTGCTTATCTCTTAAACAGTGCACATGCCTCTTACTAAGTCTTACCTTCAATAAGAGATTTTGGATGTAAAAATAAAACGTTTACATGTAGCAAACAGAGGAAGCTTTCTTGTTAAAAAGCGCATAAAAGAAACAGCTATGATTGTTCATCTAAGCTGAAGAAAAAGTGACACCTAAAGAGGCGGGCTTCTTAAAGACCTCAATTGCAGCAGATTAGACTGTTTTCCTTGGGAAAGGGAAGAAACAGGTAATATATTAAATTTGTTTCACAATCAAACCATAAAGGATTGGTACAAATGGCCTATCTGGAGAAACACAAACAAGATTGGCAGTTTGGACCAATTATTATATAAAATTCATTAAAAAAAATAGGTGTCCGTGAGGAAGGAAGAAGAAGAAGAAAGAGGAAGGGGGGGAGAGAGAGAATCGGTGTAGGTGACAGTTATATGGACATAAGACATTGAGTTTTGCAACTTGCTTAATCCATCAAAGCATAAACATATCATACATGTTATGATCTTCTCTTTTTGGCTTAAGCATATTCAAAAAAACGTGAATACTGGATTATACACATCAAAGAATCTTAAGGACAAAAATATTTGTCATAGGATCTGAAGGATCATTGTATGCATATTTCTTGAAATTTCAAATTATTACGATGAATCTGACAAGGACTAAGGACCAGATTCGGCATGATTACCCTAATCACCAGTTTTTACACATCATTTCCTTCTTGTCTAGTTTCTCCCATGTTACACATAATATCGCTGCATATGCAACAGTTCAATTTTGTGAATTATGGTAAAGTCCAGGAAGTATTAGACACATATACAGTATCCAAAAAGTACCGATATTCTTTGTTGGATACAATATTGATATCGTTCCTTCAAAAATGCTTATGCTGCTTAGCTTGCATGACCAACATTTAATACAGGGACAACCATCCACAGTAGTGGTTGACTACTTTGAGTCTTGTTATGAATCTAGTAAGCTTTGCATGTGGCAGAAAAAAATAAAAGCAACAAAGGTACATAGTTAGAAAATAGAAGTCACGAAACATTTGAAAACAGAGTGTCCGACACCCAGATGATGCAAAACCAAAAATGTACTTCAGAAAATAAAGTACGTAATCATCAGAAGTGCATGCACATGGGGGAGAGAGGTATAACCAGTGGATAAAACTACTCAGTTATTAAGTTAAGAATATAACTTTTAAAGTGGACCTTGGATATGGACATTGGCAGTTGTCGCCATTTTTGCTGGAAAGCTTTTGGATCTAGAACAGCTTTACCATTAAGTATCAAAGGAGGAGGAGAAGGAGCAGAGCTAGGTACAATTGGCAATCCAAGACCAAGTAGATCGTCAATCGCTAAGCTAGCCAACGGCGAATTCGCTGGTAATGTTTGGTCCAGAGATACAAGCTCTGGTTGAGCCTGTGAAGCAGGCTGGGGCACAGAACCATCAAATGTAGGAGCACTGTATGCAGCAACACTGTTAGTTGGACCCCTACTTTCTTCTTTCTCTGAACTACTCAAAAGAAGATCCTTGTCGTTTGCCTCAATTCTCTGGGCTGAAACAATGTTATTTGCAGATTCTTCCCCAATAGACAAATTCCCTAGTTCTTCAGAAAAAGCAAATGGCCCTCTGCGTTCTTTGTCAGTAAACATGTAAGAAGGCTGCAATATTTTCACACATTCAATTAATAATTTGTCCTATTATCAGAAGGATAAAGCTAATTCAACTTAATCATATTCATCCTACAATCATGGAGTTGGTTATCTGAAATCAAATATCTCAGGTGAGAAGACAAGGTACCTTCTGGTACACAACAGAGAGACTGTTAAATTCATCAAATATGCGATCTTTGATTTCACTACTCTTTGTGTCAGCAAAAACTGAAACAGCTTGCTTTGGAGGGTTCACCACTTGTTCTGCTACAGACACATTGTATTGTAAGAGCCTGTAGTAAAATAAGGCTCTATCATGAACATCCTGCATTACAACTGCAAGTTTTAATACACATTCTGCCAAAAACTAGAGAAAAACATATATAAGCTTCAAAATAGGACCTTCAGCTTTCACCATAATGGAGAAAGAGCCAAACCTGATGAAAATCAGCAAGACCAGCAGCCAATGCAGCTCCCAATGCTTTCTGAGTCTCTGGTGGTCTTCTTAAGAAACACTTCAGCACTGCAGTAAGAAGATGTAAATGAACCTGCACCACAATAAAACTAATCGGTCGAACGATGAATGCAGTAAAACAACAAAAATTTAGTCATCCAATTCCACAGATCCCAAAAGTTTCAAGCAAGCAACTTAGATAAAGATGAATAGCTCACTACCAGTTTGATTTCCTAGAGAGTGCAAGAAGGAATTAAGATAACACTGCACCATTCTTGTTCCATCTCACAGGACAACAAGTGAGTGGCAGATACTAAAATGCAGGGGACAATTTTTAGTAAAAAATGGCTATTTGCCCGCTACATTGGGACAGGTTTAGGGTGGTAAAATGAGAAGTGGCAGGGAATGTGGGTGAGGGAGCTAAACCAAGATTCATTTGGCACGGCACGGTGATGGAGAAACGCATGCTAAAGCCAGCCTGCCTCAATCATATCTATGCAACTTAATTTTTTTAGGTGTTTTAGAGGAGCTTACTAACATATGAGGCAAATGAATTTCTCTACAAGGCTTTAGTTTGTCATAAGGTTCCTCGTGTACGCCTGTCAATGTATTTGGGTATTTGCTAACAGTGCCCTTACCAGAGTGCCTTGACCTACTCACTAGGGACATAAAGAATGACATATGCTAAGACAGCTGTCTCATAGATTCCTTAATCCACTTCGGCTAATGCTATAAGACAAACAGGACTCCTTTTCCATTCGGAAAGCTTGAGCTCATCATAGAGGGCCAGAGCCAGTTAGGACTCTAATTGATCAACACCCAAAAAAAGCTATCACCAACAAACTTTCCACGCAGAGAAGATAAAGTTAGGGTCACCACCCAAGAATCTTCTCAAATTTTCTGCCACCTGATCGGAACTACTTTGAGGAGCGAAGTAAAAAGTCTATGCAGAGGTTAATAGACGACAGTCACTTTCTTGGTGGAGCAAATATTTCGAAAGCTTGGTTTCAATACTTTATGTGGGACTAGTTGCAGGGCCAAGCTTGTTGTTTGTACAACAAGCTTTTGTCCTACACATATGAAGAAGGGTAACCTCCTTATCATTCCAGCATGTGCACTTTCTATTGAGCAGGTAGCACCAAATGGCGGCCATGTTAAGGAATGTGGCAGCCTTGTATATATGTTTGAATGATCAAATTTAAGTCCAAAAGGTAAATACAGAAAAAAAATGCTGATTAAAATGGGAGCCCTCGTGGGAAACTGCCCCACCCATGTTTTGCTCTGGGATTGACGAAAATTTTCCATGCAAGTTTAGGTTAGGAAAAGGAGCAACCCGCAAATGGAACACCAAAGTAAGGCTTTGGAAAGCTCTCACGAATGGTTCCCGTGCATGCACGATCTTGCACAACATAAACACAAGAATAGATCTCTTCCGTGGTGAACACGAGTCCTTCGATCGAGTGGTCAATCTTGCTACTTGGAATAGGTTGTGAGGGCCGAAGGTGGCCTAAGAAGCGGTGATGAATTGTTTTTATGGGTCGCCTGACTGGTCCTGGGAGGCTAAGGGAGGTTCTTGGAACAGAGAAAAATAGGTTAGAAGGGTGCCGGAGTGTTTTCCGGCGTATCCCCTCCGACGATCAAGTCAGTTCTTTGAGAGAGGAGAAAAAGAAAATACTATATGATGCTTGAGAAAGGGTTTTTGCGTACCTCTTTAACTTGTTTGTAAGGACTATTTATACCTTACAAAACTCATCATTGCTGACAGCGTAGTTAGTAGGTAATCATTAGAGGTGGGCAGTGTGCACACTAATTTCTATGAGAAATGTCCTCATTCTTAACTGTTTGGGACCCCAAACAACTAATGTTTTCTCCTCGGTCTGCCGAGTGTTTAATGACCTTCTCTCAGCAGGAATGTGTTAAATGCCCAGGCATAGGAACATTTATTACCTTCACTTCTAGGCTCTCATGCATTAAATGTTGTCTCATCAAGGGAATGATGCATTAAATGTCTGCCCTCCCAAGTCGTGTGTCAGCAAAGGCATTCTGATTTTTTCGTCTCTGACCTGACACAATATGCCATGTGCCCATTCCTTTTTGATTGAGCCTTCTGCTTTCTTGCGCCTCCTGACACCATTTGAGTAGGACGATGTTATGATGGCTAGTCTAGCCCAGCCTAGGCCAGTAATTTGTCAATCAATAGCCCCTGCAGGAGCAGAAACGCCCACGTGGACAGATACACCTCGATGCCGATGGACTAGCATGATTAGGGACCGATATACCCAAACTGACCGAGGAATACGTGTCGGTCCATGGCATATTGAGGATCCTCGATCCCTGTAAATAGTACCCTCGGGGAAGGAGGGTATAGACCGACGAGGACGTGTCGGGATCACAACAGAGAGTCTTCATTGGCGCTAAGTACACGTGTCGTCATCTTGGTGTGTCTGAAAATGTCCCATCAGTTCCAAAGGGGGTGGGTTCATATTTGGCGATGGCAACTGGGTGAAGTTTTAGAAAACATGTATGGACTGGGGAAGCCCCATGTTTTTTTTTGACAAGTAACCGAAAATATGATTAACGACAAGAAGTCAAAACCTGAAGTACAAAAACAAATCTACCAGCAACACAAGGCACCAAGCCAAAAAGAAAAGACCATCCTACACTAAGCCTAAGAAAAGTTGAAAAAAAATTAACTACAAACAGCAGCCCAATTGTTCAAAATATCAAAAGGTGCAACACTGCCAAAATCTTTAGTGTTCGAAGCTTAGAAAGAAGCAAGAAACTAGATACGACTCCATAAGCCTTCCAACTCTTCACATTTGTCCCAAAAAATTCTTGCATTCTTTTCCAACCAAATCACCCACATAGTTGCAAAGAAAACACAAGGCCATAGAACAACATTTTTTGTACTTTTTCCAAAATCACCGAAGTCCACACACACAATAGAAGCAAAAGTCCTTGGAGCCACCCACAAAATACCGGCCACCTCAAAACATTTATTCCATTAAGATCAAGCTATTGGGCAATGCAAAAATAAATGATTCACCCTTTCACACTTCTTCCAGCACATAACACACCATTACGGTAAGAGACATTGTTTTGGTCTTTGTTGGAGCATATCATTCGTATTCACCTTACCATGAGCAACCAACCATGCAGACACTGTCACTTTCAAAGGCACATTAACTTTCCAAATTTTCAAAGATGGGAAAGCCCCATTTGAGGGAGACTTTCAACACTTCTTCAAATAACATCAACTGAGGAAGTCAGGTGAAGGATTGTGGGCAGTTGTACGTGTTTATTAGAGGCTTATGACATTGGGAATGGAAAATATATTCCTGCCACTCTAACAAATCCATGATATTGAGCTCTACTATGGTTTAAAACATGTGAAGTTTCGGAGAAGCTGAGTGAAATGGTGCCTTCTCAGTTAAGCCATAGTGTAAAGTTTTATCTAATTCCAAAATGATTGATTTTTCACAAAAGATGCGGAACCCCTCCAATCTCAATAGGTCGCTATCTTTGTTTGGCTACAAACATATGTGCTTGACATTGGATCTTTTGATTCACATTTCACAGAACCATGATGATTCCATCTGGATAAGCAATGATTGAGGAAGCCACCATAACGGCAAATGACTTGTTACTCCCAGCTTCCCTGGTGTTGGATCAAGGCTGTAATGAATGGAATAGGAGATTTGGAGATGGATTCCACACGCATACTCGTAGTGTATTTGGATAGTATACAATTGGAAAACAACGCACACAAAAGAGCCTAGAAGATACTCGAGCAAAGAAAGCCAGAGCACCCCCCACCCCAAAAAAGAAATTTGAAAATTTAAAAATGAGAAAGTGCAACTTTATTACCTCTGCAGAATGTTCATCATCCCAGCTCTCAATAAAACTTTCTAAAATATAAGGAGCATCCTGCATATCTTGAGCATACTCCCCTAACATCCAAATAAGAGCTGCCTTGGCTTTGGGTTCCTGAACATTTTTGCTGCTGATGCTCCCAACAACTGCTATGCAATCATGACTCCATTGAGGATATTTCCTAAGAAGATCTTTCACAAGCACCTGCATGAATGAACTAAAGATTGTTTAAATTAGCCAACATATGTTCTTTGACTGGATTCAAAACATTATTTCGGGGTTACAGGAGGTAATAACACAGTGCATCAACTTTTAAGTTCCAAGCATCTAGCATGCAGATACAAATAAATTACCAGAGTTTCAGCAGTCACATAGTCCTTTTCCATCTCCAGAAACTGGAGGAGCCTATCAACAAAGGCATTTACATCATACTGCTGCAGTGCTATTTTCCCAACTGCCCGAATTGATTCTCTTGCAATGGGAATGTCAACATTGGCAGCATATTCACATAGTTCCGTCACTGAAATGGACTCAAGAAAGTCAGACATTAGTCAACACCGAGGACCAGAAAATGGGTCACCAGCCAGAATATAATGCAGCTCATGTCAACTTCCTCGGAATGTATGGCGGGAATGGTATTAATGTAGTAACGTACCTATTTCATAAGTATTGCTCTCATTTGCCACAGCTGTCAACATTTCGAGCTTCAATTTCTTAACATAAAATGATTCATTGTACTGGCAATAGAAGTGTTTGTAGTCCAAAGAGAAAATAAAAGGTGCACGCATCACCAAAAGATGCAGATGGCTTAATACAGCATATGATTGCTCTGGACTGCCCGAGCTCACTAGGGTCAGTAGAGGAGCTTTAATACGCTCATACACCTAAAAAGGCAGAATTTTTTGCATTAAGAGTATTGAATATTTCAACAATAGTGGCTAGCTGCCAAAAATGAGTCTAGTTGGCCCCAAAGTGATACACACTAATGCCATAAAATTGATGCAGAAAGAGAACAACTTTGCGGTCATCATAGTACACTGACAAGTATCAACAGGTAAACATCATGACAGGCATCTCACAAGAACTAAACAGCCAAATGATGCAAACAGATCCTGCAAAACTGATGGGTAACACCATCTCACCCATAAATAGAAAAATGGACACTGACATAATGCGTATGTTTGTGTACCAACAGAACAGTACTTTACCAAAACCTGGAAAAGAATAGTTCATGACTAACATGCTCTACATAAAGCAGTTAAGCAAGGCCTGACCTGCCAAAATGTAACTTAAACATATACAAGGTCGCAAAGATGCATCTCACTGAAGGACAACGTGAAGCATGGTCCAGCAGCTATAAATTACACAGATTCAGATATGACTGTGTGTTTTGAAGGTTTTAGCTAGCTCTATAACACAACAATTTCTGAACTATAGCCTTGAATATTCTTGTCTATAGTTTCCAAATACAATTTATGTGTGTAGCAAGAAGTAATAGATAGGTAAAAAGTCCAGCTGATCCTACTAGCAGTTTTCAGCACGGGACAGCCTCCAATAGTACATCCTTCCCTGACCTTTCTTCCATTTACATTTGGAAAAAGGAAGAAATGCTCTTGTGAGTGGTTACCGATGGATTATTTTTCTATTGTTTGTGAAGAAACTGGATAATATGGTGGTACAGAGTTGGGATATCCGGCTAAAAGAAGGCAGAAGTGGTTGCTTCAAAATCAGTGCCAGTCATCAAGCGATATCTAAGCATGCCCCAGGGGTGGTGGTTTTCATTATTATGTTTTTCTTGGGTTCGGGTCCGTGGGTGATGAGGGTGGGGAAGAAAGGTTGTGGCTAATGAAAAACAATTTAATTTTTATGCACTAATACCTTTAGGCAGGGACCAACTTTTGGATTCCTTCACCAATTGACTTCATGAAGCCTATTTTTTAAGATTCCCATAAAAATTCTTAGCATGCAGTAAAAGAAATCCTGGACCATTCAGGATCATAATATGGCTCATTATGAGTGACCACCTGCGGATTAAAGTTTTTTCAGCTAGACGTATTCAGTGTCAGTTTATAAAGGGCTGCATCTGCTGTTGCAAACCTTGGAGAGATAAGAGGGGGGGATAGTGGCCACCTTTTTGCTTCAAGGAAACAACTAAAACAAGTATGATATATGCAACCATGTACAGATATGGTATTATTCCCCCATTTAGAATCCCCAATCATCTAATATCAACACAAACAGAACTTAGATGAACCTTATGTTGCAATTCTCTTTCCTTGCAATATTTTTGTAATTTCTCTTTACTATCTGCCCTTTTCTTCTCTTAAGAGGATTCACTCAACTGGTTATGTTGTATTCAAGTTCTCCTCGTTCCCCTTTTTGATAACAGGAATTCAATTAGAGTTTCAAAACACTCTTTCCTCGATAATGAGGAAACCTTCTTATACAGGTACTTAAAATCCAAATTACCAGCCCCTGTATGAAATATCTTTTCAGTGCCTTATTTAGGAGGAGGTGCCACACTATTATAAGCAGGGCCAAGAATTCTCATTGATTTCATCCAGCAAATAAATAAATGAACAAAAACATTCTTTAGTGAAGGCTGGTGAAAAGAACAAATATAATGGAACAAACCCCCACCTTTAAACTGTCAATGCAATCGAACTCTAGAATGCATAATTCTCTTAGACTAAATAAAAAAATAAATGGGATGTTTGAGAAACCAATGTTGAACAACAGGAAAAGACAAATTGGCAGAAGTAATCAAAACAACAAATAAGCAAGGGACATTATGATAGGCACCTGCTGATGGACATCTGTCATAGACAAAGTCAATTGTAGAAACACCTTAACGGTTGCTAGGACAACAGCACCATTAGCATGTTGAAGTCTATCTTCAAGAAGATTCATGATGTCAAAGATCTCATTGTTATCTGTGGGTACATATTTAGCAACCAATTCAAGAACTATACATTGTGCCCATTCACTGAATTCCTTGATCCTGCACATAATCATGTAGGAAAGCTTAAGTTCTTTTTGTTTCACAGCTAATATCTAAGAAGAGAAACCATTCTGTTTGTGGTTTTTTTATGGGTTTTTTTTTTTTTTTTTTTGGGGGGGGGGGGGGGAGGAGGGTTTACTAAATAAGAAAAAGTACCAAAAGAAAAGGGGAAACGATAAGAATGAAAGCAATAATCTGGGAGGAGGTACCAAAAGCAAAATTTCCTTCTGGGATCCAAATGGCCCCTTAATTTCTGCTGTGGTCACAATATCACCACGTCACTCTCCCCATAGTTTAATTCTACCATTTTTTCGCCAGGTACAACTGTAAAGTCTGCTTAAGGAGTGAAGGACTATCCCAGTCAAATTAGTGACATCAAAGTCGTGGGTTGTTGGAACTTGGAAGATATATATTCAGATATGGCAAGAGGTTTGATCTCTAAAGCTGCTGGATGGTGAGATCCACCATAACATTTATGGTACTCAAGTCTGCATTTTTATTCATAAGTGGATCCCTTCTCTGTGTTGTGTTGTCTTTAAATTCATGCACTTATCAGACATTCATCTTTCAATACTTTTTTTTACAATTAGAAACTTAAGAACACCAACAGAAGGCACAAGCAAGGGTGGCCATGAGGTTGGCCACTGGGCTGGGTTCGAGCAAAGCTAACATTGGTAATACTGCACTTTACGTAGGCTCGGCCCAGCCTCGAGCCAGATGCATTTGGCCCATGCGCAGCCCTTTGCCAATTCTCATGGCCCAAGGCCCAGGGTGAGCGGCCCCTCTATGTAGAGTTTATTTTCTTTTATTAAAATTTAAACATCTAAAACAGCTCAAAAAACTAACATGGTTTTTTCCATCACAACTGCCAAAGATTTGAGTGTCCATTCCTAACAATAGGGTATGAATGGATATATTTTTTGGTTTAATAAACATCACCACCGTCTACTTTGGGGTGGTAATATTTTCCCCACGAAGTTCAATTTGTAATACTAAACCTCCCAAAAATAATAACCAAAGAGCAAGACTAATGTTTTTACTTAAAAATATCAGGTGTATGTAGAGTTAAGACTTTGTTTGGCTGGTCAAAATTGGTTTTGTATATATTTAAAAATCACAAATATAACCCCTCAATTTCCTTGCATACTAATAGAACATGTTTTGACTACTTGTATAACATTTATGTTAGGCAAAGTAGCCTCTAGAAGTCAGACCTATGATGAGTGCTTATTGCCCTAAGCAATACCGGGTTTGAGTTCAAGAATCAGTATCTTTAAAATGGAGGTAAGATCACCTAGCACTTACCTCTCTCAAACACTGCTATTGACGGTTTTGCACTAGGTAAGACCTTTATATGCAATTCTCCCTGTAGAATTACAATGTAACCAACTACAGTTCTTGATAATTTCTGATCATGTATCTTCTAACTTAGTTGGGTCCGCTATTGACAATTCCTTTACTAATGTGCAATCCACAACTCTCAGGCCCTCTAAAGGAGCTAGAATAGAGGAGACACAACATCTAACTGCTGATGATCTTCCCCTGACAAGAACTTTTTGAGGAAAAATAAAAAGTTGACAAGACTCGACAAAAAAAGGCAGCACCAAATGCTACTCCTGCAGATCTGCCATTTGGCCCATCCACAAATGTTCTTCCAATGTCAGGCCAGAAACATCAGCCTAGTTTTCCACTTGGGCACCCCACTACTGGGAAAAGTATGGCCAACTCCAGGCTCATCTTGAATCTTTTCAAACTGCTTAATGGTAGAAAAGTCGCTTCTCCTCCATCATCAGTACCAACCAATTACAAACTTATCACCATCATGACCATTTTGTCATCCCTTGATCCCTAGCATGACACAACGACTAATAACAAATCTTCTTATTATTCTTCCAGCTGCCTCATCCCAGAGTTAAAAATCCAGAGTTGAACTCAATGTTTCAATCATGTGAATAAGACGCCACATCCAACAAGGGCTGATAGGTCTTATCTGTTTCAGTAATTGATGAGGTAATACACAGATATGTACATATTGGTACTATTTACATAGAGAGTTTCATAACATATTGCCATGATTTTGCAGTTAAAAATAAAATTCTTCAACAACTAACGTCTCTTTCTCCGTTTCTTCTTCTTCTTCCCTCAACAGATTTTGATTGATCCTGTCAAAACTACACACAAATGAAACTGAGAGAGGCTTCACTTGGGATTACATCCACCACTGGTCGGATCACATGGTTTGTTGCTATTTGAGTATGATGAGCATTTGAAGAGGAAGAATTTGGAGGGAGAATGTAGAAGGATATTGCTGAAGAGAAAGAACGAGGAAGGAGAACAAGAATAGTACCTCAGGGATTTAATATTAGATAAGGCCTGAATGTGTTGCAACGAAAAATAAGTGAAACAATAAGGACAATATGGTCATTTTAACAAAAACAGCTTTCAATGTAACTTTTGCACTTCAGAAGATTTATTATCATAAATTGGAGTTGATGTGCTGCTGTACAAAAGATGTAGGATGCACATCGCTTAGCAAAAGGACGAGACTGAACAGAAGAAAACGGAGGTTAAACACATGGATCTCCAAACCCTTAAAAGACCACCTGTACTCTCCCTCCTAATGGCCCATAGAACTATAAGGCAAATAGTTCATGTATCACAACGCTTCCAACCTACAACCCCCTCTAAGCGAAACAATAAAATCTTAAACGTCTCCACATCACCTCGTTACTATCTAATATCTCATCCTTATCAAAGGCTTACAAAGGATTACAAAGAATAAGGTGGTACAGAATAAAAGAAACGAATCACATTTTTCATTACCAGAAATAAATGAAAACTTTCCCATGACATTAAGAATTTACTTATCTATACTTATTGCTAAGTGGACTGGGAAATGCTTTTGAAAATTGTTTCATAGGTCAAAGAAAAATACAAACAATTTAAATTTAGTTCACTAACTAGTCTTCAAAATGGATGCATCACCATTTCATTCTAACGAAAGAACACAAGCAAAGAAAGGCCTTTAGGCAAGATGACATTTCATAGCGAAGTGCTTGCATTTTAATATAATTCTGTGCACTGTCTCCCACTAGACCCCTTAATCTACAATAACCTAAAAGAACTAGAGCCAAAAGAAAAACATGTTGATCCATCATAAAAATATTGTGGGTGCCAAACACGGTTCCTTGGCCCAATGTAGATTAAAAATGTCAACACATATTTCTAACATTCTGATCCTTATAACTAAAATCTTACCGATTCAAAAAGTAATATACAACTGGTTTGCGTAGCAAGACTTCTTTTTCCATTAATGCATCCTCAGATTTACTTGCTTCTAAGCTCCAAATCTCCTGTAAGGCAGATAAACTGTTTGCAACCACCTGATGAAACATGAAAAAGATTAGACTAATTAATACTACAAATTCTGAATTCCATATCTGATTGGCATACAATAAGAATTCAATATTTGTTGGAAGGTCAAAGGCTTTTTCATTCAAAAACTTGAATTATCCAAATATACTTCAGTACTTTGAGTGTGTATCACACCTCAATAACATCCAACATACAAATGGATTGAAGAAGAAATTTGAAATCTTAGAATGCTGGATATCTCTTATACCATCTTGCCTCGGATAGATAATAAGAATCACTCTTTTTGTTCATAACCCCTCAAGATCTTATGTTTTCAACAACGCCAATGACAATCAAACAAAAGAACAACTACAGCATCCATTATATTGGAGAGGAAAGGAGAAGGGGGGGGGGGAGTGCAATTTAATGCATAAGGTGAACCAAGGCCAAGTTCTGTTGGGGGCCTTGGGGCTTAGCTGAGAAGCAAGAGGTGAGAGTCAAAGTGCGGTATAGCCATTACTTACACTCACATAACCAGAAAGTAAAATGACTTTGGGAAAATAAAATGTAACATGGCTTACAAGAAGGGTATAAAAAAAAAAAAAAACAAAGGGTCGCCATGGATAGACCACCCATATAGTAGAGCAAGAGAGAGAAAGAGAAAGAGTCTATATACAGAGAGACCTACTACTAAAATCCTAGAGAGAGCAAAAGAAACACAACATGTGTCATTCACTTATACAACACCCCCCCACCCCCCAGAAAAAAAAAAACAAAAAAGAAAGAAAGAATGTGAACGCCTCAACACCTAAACTGCAACTTGGAAAAGTCACCTAGCCTAACGCCAGTAGAAATGCAAAGGATGTGCCCGTAGTCACCTTAAGCCTAGGCGAAGAACTACGTGCAACTTTTACAACACTGGAATAACAAATCACACACCACAACTTAATGTAGTGTGAGGTCAATTGTACAGAATACTATACTCCTTTCCTGGAATATCAGTGCAAGGATATCATTTGTCGCTGATGCGCAATCCTAATTTCTTGATTCCCTTACTAGCCCATTTAACTGCCAACCAGAAAGTCAGGTTATCAGATTACAGCCCACGGCAAAAAGCTTGGAAAACTTCCAGGGCATCTAATTAACCCTTGCTTCATTTGATCACAAGAGGCTATCTTTACTGGTAGTTCTCAATCCAATTCATAGTGCAGAAACTAGAGTCTGCTGAAATTCTAATATTGTAGATTTATATGACTATCTTGACATCAAAATTGTGTGTAGTTTCTAAATCATCACAATGTGGCAAGATCTAAGGCAAATTTAAAAAAAAAACAGAGTCATGCAACTAGCAACAAGGTTCTATAATCTCATCATTAAGCTTAAGCAACTAGAATTCTAAAGCATAGTTGTCAAATCGCGATTCATATCGTGAATCGGAATCCTAAATTTGAGAATTATGAATCGTATCGAATTGAATCGTGAATCGTCAGATTCGACACAAAATTTGAACAAAAATAAAAAATAATACTACATATTTAAAATAGACAAAATATTAAATATTAAACATCATTGTCATTCTAAAAATAATCAATTGATATAAGCACGTCTTTTAAATAGAAAGACACTAACCTTTTGCTTCATTTCTATCTTTTGCTTAACT